GCTCGATAATAAATGAGCAAGGGAGTAATAAATGACACGTACGCACTTATAACTCGGTATGGTCTATGATCGGTAAGTTAGAATGTAAAAACGACTAGAACAGCCACGCGTAGAAATGCAATGGGGTGGGGAGTGACAGTGGGTAGGTTGGTTTGGGGAGGGGTTGGGGGACTAAAAGCTCCAAGCTCCTCCCTTCACCTACCTACACCTCTCTCACTCTCTCTCTCTGTCTCTCTCTCTTTCTCTCTCTGTCGCTCTCTCGCTCTCTCGCTCAGGCGTCACTCAGCTCCTTATCATTGTAGCGCAGCCGGATCCGCGCCCCAGATGGCGCTCTGGCAGGTAACGACGGAGCCGGCCTTCATCACCCGGCAGAAGCCCGTCGCTGCCTCCTCCTCATCCTCCTCGTCACTGAAGCCCGAGGGTAGCCACGCCGCCACCTGGCCCGCCAAGCCCCAACATCACAAGCCCCAGTGGTCGGACCCGCAGAGGCCGAGCTTCAAGCCTACAGAGCCCCAGGAGGTACTGCTCTTGTAATAGCGCGCTTTTAAGGATTTTGAACCACTCTGGCATTAATGCTGCCAATAATTGATCCTCCACCTGCTCCCATCATCACTCCTTACACACACACACACGCGCGCGCGCGCGCACGCACACACGCACACACACTTATGCTCATGCACTGATGTAATATGGAATTTCATTTGAACTAAATGTAACTAAACAAACCAGGCGCTCAATCTACAGTGACTAAATATAATAATAGTAGTGGTGGTGGTAGCGATAGCGGTAGTGATAGTAGTAGTAGTATTATTAATAGTTGTAATATCAATAGTTGCAATAAAAAAATCACAATAACAATAATGACGAAGACGATGATGATAATTGTAATAATAATTACCCTATATAGCTTTCGATATACATACATTTATTAATTGTAAAGAAGCACTTAAGTAATTTACGTTTTAAAAAGTCTCGTAGAAAAGCCACACTAGTTTATTTATCTTATATTTAGACGTTAATTATTATTTTATTATCAGTCATATTTTGACATAGAAGCATATAATCAACCGGATTCGCTATGACAACCTGAAAATATGCCGCTTATTAAATATCGCGTTATTTCTCAACGTAATAATTCAAAATCCGTTGTTGACACAGTGGGTAAATACTATTAACGAGCATTTAACGACAAAGCCTTCTCCTTCTCATTTAAATAAATTTAATAAACCTTAAGGCTCCGTTACACACAAGGCCTTTTGCTCGACAGCGCTTAAACGATAATTTCCCTTTCGCGCGCAAGGTAGCATTACGCAACATCCGCGCATGTAATTACCTCGCAAAATATTACGACCTCGTATCGGGAGTATAAAGGAAGACGAGAGCCGACGCTATCAAAAGCTAATATAAAGGTTAAACAGTTGCTTAAGAGGCTCAGGGGCCGGGACGCCAAAGTCTCTCGGCCGTCGCAGTCTCCGGATCCTGCGACCCAATTGACGCCTTACGCTGCTAGAACAGGCGACAGCATTTTGCCCATTTGCAGAGCGCGGAGAGAGAGTCATCGTCGTCGTCGTCGTCGTCGTCGTCGTCGTAGTCGTCGTAGTCGTCGTCGTCAGCTGTACTTTTTGCGCTTGCGACCTTCGGTTACGGCTTTAAGGCGCGTCGGTGAAAATGCTCCCGGCGCAAGCGACTTCCACGTGAAAACGTTCATCCGTGGCTCAAGGCCGTTCCACTTTTTGCTCGTCTGCGCGCATCCCAATTGAGCGCGAAAGACGCTTTTCCCGGAAAGAAACTCGCGATCGACCTACCGCTGTCCGGTGCGCGTTAAACTTCAATTTCCGCGCGGACGACGCGCGCCATCCGACCTAATCTACTACCGGCGGATGTACACATATATACGTGCGCAATGAAATACTACGGACGGAGGCGTAAGTTTGCTCGATGCACGGAATTTCGGTGGCGGCGGCGGCTGAGGGGGCAGGAAGGAAGGTGAGGAGGGAATAGTCTTTCCGATGAATCGAGGTCAAGATGCTTTTTACCGAGATTGCAATGTGTTCCTGTCGATGAGGCAAAATACAATTTACTCGGAAAATACTGCTTTTTGGGATTCATTGAATCATGCAAGACATTAATCTAAAAATATGAATTATCATGTAGATAAAGAAACTTGATCTACTATGTATATTACACGATTGGCTCAAATTACGTGAAATATAAAAAAGATATTTAATAATGTATTTTAATTACCGATATAAAAATTTCAATTGTTGCTATGTGCGATTCACTACGTAATTTTAATAACAATTGGAAATGCACTTTTCACCTGTGGTACCATAATGCCATAAACAACAAAAAATATTCTCGCTTATCATTATTATTATCACATTATCCAACAGGATTATACTATATAAAGCATATATTAAATAATTAACGATCTTGGATATAATGTAAATAGAAGAAAAGAAGCTCTCGACTATTCATACAAATTTCGATAATTAAATATTAAATTCGAGTAAATTGATTTGAATTGCATGAAATTTAATAAGTATCTCGATAATGAGAGTATATCGTTGGTAAATATTTTTCATAAAGAAAGATAAGTGATTGATACATGGTAAAGCAGTCATTATCTATTCACACATTTGCCAATATCACCAATTTTAACAAATGTTATTATGATTAGTTGTTTTAAAAAATTTGATATTCGAACAATTTTCTAAATTGCATTGCATTATTATAATTACAAATTCCTCTTCTTCTCCCTGGAAATATTTATAGCAGCCATAATGCGGTTCCCGTTTTTGAAAATATTGCTGGATTATTATTCGATCTTGGTGTACCGATTTTCTCGTGGACAACGGGTCTGTCGTGTTTTCCGTGATATCGTATTATCTATCTGATGCTCCAGGCAATAATTCTCATCATATCGGTCAAAATTCTTTATATACCAATTATAAACTTTTTTGCGGGCTATTAGCGAACAACATGACGTACTAAAGCATCGGTGTAATATTGATCTTTATCGCCTATAAACGAATTATAATTTAAAATTGCATTGTTTTATGCGTGCATAATTCCTGTAATTATCAAAATTATCATCGATCGTGTTTTTATAGCTAATTTTGTAAATTATTATAAATTTATTTCACTTTTACGAATGCACTATTAATCGAAACACTACAATGGTAAAGTATTTCGATACAAAAATAGAGATAATGAAAGATTTTTTATTTATACCTATAATAAGTATCCACGTGTGTCATCTAATCTAACATACTAATCTGAATAATAATTGTTCTTGGTATACTGTAAATAATTCTCTATCGATGAACACAAATACAATAATAATCGTAACGATAAATGGCGAACTGTAAATGACAAAATCAATTGTTTTATATGGAGTGACTTTAGAAATTATAAAGTAAATAAGCCAGACAAGCCGTCCTAAATATATAACCAAATTGACAAATCAATTGTAGCGGACGATCGTTTCATTAGAATAGAATTTCTTTCAAAAATTCGAAAGAAAGCATTTGAAAATGAAAAAAAAAAAAAAAAAGAAGAAATAAAATAGAATAACTAGACTAACGTAATTGTAGATGTATATACATACGTAAAGATACAGTTGTGTTGGCAAATCGTTGATTAAAAGGATATGTTATTTATTTTCAAGGGATTGCAAGAATAAGTTCGGCAATCATGTCCCACGTACGCGTTTAAATTACATAGAATGCGCAGGTAAAATTTCATGGCACTGTGGAGAGAATAATGTTAAGCGTTAAAAATTAATTTAAACGACGAATGATATTTATGGGATAAACGAACAGACTCGCGAGTGAGATAAAGCTAATGTATGCTCGACGAATTTCTAGAACAACGTCTACCAGAAGCCGCACTCGGCGCACTACATTACGACCTCGTATCTGGAAACGCCGACGAAGGCTCGTCCAACGAAGAAGCCGACAACCTCGGCAACTACTACCTCGACGACGTCCATGACTGCCTCGAGCATCGTCACATCCACAATTGCCCAGCGCCCCCCGTCCTCCAGTCCGACCCCGCCCACGCCCACAGCCTCTGCCTCGACCTCCCTCTCGGCGACAACGACAACGACGACAACGACGACGACGACGACAAGGACGACAAGGACGACGACGTCCACGTCGGCGTCGATGTCTACGCCGATGACCACGACGACGATGACGCCGAGGAGGACAGAGGCTACCTCGTCCTCATCGGCGTCCTCGACGACATCAGCGAGGACGGGCTCGATACTAACCGTACCCGCGGCCCTCGAAAGCAGCAACATGTCATGCGGAGTGCCGCCCCTTTTCCCCAGGCCGGAGACGCGAATCGTCGGGGGCAAGGAAGCGCCCTTTGGCAAATGGCCCTGGCAAGTCTCCGTAAGGCGTACCTCCTTCTTCGGCTTCTCCAGTACGCATAGGTGCGGCGGTGCCGTGCTCAACGAGAATTGGATCGCCACGGCTGGCCACTGCGTCGACGAGTGAGTCCATTGATCGTCCATTGCTTTATTTCTATATATTGCCGAATGGTAATGAGAAGGATAGTAGTAGTTGAGGGAACGAAGGGTTCCCTCTCAAAGCTCAAATGCGATTTCCATCTCCGTTTTTGGAATAATGATCCTCCCCCCCCCCCCCCCCCCCCCCCCCCCCCCCCCCCCCCCCCCCCCCCCCCCCCCCACCCCCCCCCCCCCACTACCGCCACTCATCTTCTTTAAGGCTCTGCGAGAACGACAAATTTGTCGAGGTTATTGGTATATTTGCTTTATTCTAAATATGATGTGAATGGGCTGTATAGCAAAAACAAAAACAAAACAAAACAAAACAAAACAAAAAAAATATATATATATATATATATATATATATATATATATATAGAACGTATTTATAGATGCTAAATAAATTCTCTCCTCTTGATAACAAAATAAATTTTAAACTCCAATGTATTTATAATTAAAACCCTTGGCTTATTTATTTGTCAAATGAAATGCTTGTTTTATTTAAAAGAATTGTAAAGAATGAAGAACGATTACACGAAGCTTTTATACTTTATTCCATAATTCATGACATATTCGCGAGCTTACGTAATGCAACGTATATGAATGCCAGTAGGTATAGAAACTAGAAAAGCGTATGAAAATTTAATTCTTTCTAAGTACACCATCTAAGCATGAGCATAATTATGATTATTTCATTTTATTTATTTAGTTGTTTTTGTTTTTGTTTTTTGTTTATTTTTTTGTTTTTGTTTTTGTTTTTTGTTTTTGTTTTTGTTTTTGTTTTTGGTTTTTTTTTTTCCATAAATGTATGACGCAATAGAACGGGATGATAACTTTTAAAAGTTCTTCAACATAAATAATCGAAATGCGTTCGTTCTCCGATAATAATGTCAAATGTGCGATAAATAATTTTACTGGCACATAAATGGATGGATAAAAACGGCATAAAGAGATAAGACTAAGCTTGTCTTGGCATTACGAAGGAGGAGAAATAGCCACTAATCTGAAATATTTTAATTACTATTCATTTATCTGTAAAAAGAATGCTAAACATTATTATGTTGGGTATTATGCTGCGTAGATAAATTTAACGACGAAAAGTACGTTCTGCAAATATCATTCGCCTACTTATCATTAAAGCATTACTGTTGAAAAATGAAAATTCTTATTTAAATGAGCGTCGTCGTGTGTTCGTAATTGGGCTGGAAACTAATGTTTCTTTAGCTAATATAACGGTTCTGGCCTATCTCAAACGACGATGTTTTTATGATTTTAATCAATAAGGCTAAGTGTTGGCAATTAAAATTTATCTACGTTTGGCAGCTTCGCCTTACGACCTCCCTACCGGCGCGCTAATAATTCGTAAAATTCTCTCCCACGTGAGAGAGATTTCGAATAAACGCGCGCGAAATAATCATCTGGGCATCTTGCCGCATCTTGAATAACGCCTGGACCCTCTGGCTTTCAGCCTTCTAACATCGCAGATCCGCATCCGCGTGGGCGAATACGACTTCTCGTCGGTGCAGGAGCGACTGCCGTACGTGGAGCGCGGTATCACGAAGAAGGTCGTCCACCCCAAGTATAATTTCTTCACGTTCGAGTACGATTTGGCCCTGGTGCGGCTGGAGACGCCGCTGAACTTCGCCCTCCACATATCGCCGATTTGTCTCCCGGCGAGCGACGAGCTCCTCATCGGCGAGAACGGCACCGTCACCGGCTGGGGCCGACTCAGCGAGGGTGGCACCTTACCCTCGATTCTACAGGAGGTGAGGTCGTTCGTTGCTTTATGTGTTAAGAGAGAGAGAGAGAGAGAGAGAGAGAGAGAGAGAGAGAGAGAGGAGGATAGCGCGGTATGACGCTTTAATATACACGAATGGCGACGACAATTCATTACGCGCACAATCCTAAGGCGACCGAGTTACATTGCATCATCAAGTCGACAAGCAATGTCGTTTATAGTTATCCGTTAACCTTCGTACAATGAATTTTCAAATCCACGTCAAATTGCAAAGTAGAGAAAAGCTTTAATTATTATGCTCTGGCATAATGTTATTTAAAATTTTTGTATAACTCGAGTTCGTATTATTTTCGGATGACTAATTAATGTTATGTGAAATGTATTATTGGCGCCGTTACAATAATATGAACGATTCGAGGTTGTATTAGTGTCGAGTCGAGGTCCTCGTCAAACGCTTTCGTATCAAAGTCTTCATTTTCATCAAATTTGTTTTCCTCGTACATAAGCTACTAAATTTTTTCTTTTTTAATATTACAGGTTTCCGTACCAATCGTGAGTAATGATAGGTGCAAGTCAATGTTCCTCAGAGCCGGCAGGCATGAATTCATTCCCGAGATATTCTTGTGCGCCGGCTATGAAAGTGGTGGTCAAGATTCTTGTCAGGTGCATTGAATATATTCATCCCTTTTATTTTACTCTGTCTCGTCATTATTATTATTATTATTATTATTATTATTGTTGTTGTTGTTGTTGTTGTTGTTGTTGTTGTTGTTGTTGTTTTCGTTGTTGTTTCTGCAATTAGGTAGTTTTAGCCATTTCTCATTAATATTAAGCAACATCCGGCCTAACGAATCGTTCGTAAAATTTACAATGTCAAACAAAACACATTAGATAAAATTATTAATTCAAGAATTTAATAAAAAGAATTTCAAAAAAGGTTTAATTTGCCATCGCGACATGCCACAATTAATGCATAATTACGTGCTAATCCATACACAATTTTATTATGCCGGTATACTAATGAAACCTACCGTACTATCAAGATTAATTTTATGAAATAATTATAGGTTTCGGTAAGCTATAAAAGCGATTAAAGTGTCGATTATTAATATAATATAAAATGAATTAATAGATACGGATAAGCAAGTATTTTTAATTTTACGTTCGTCTCGCGCCTATGTTTTTTTCTTTTCTTTCTTCTTACGTATCAAAGTGAAAAGCATACAGCTTCGTACGAAACCTCATAAGAAACTTCATTGACAATGCAACAACAAGAATATTCATCAACTTCACAAAACTTCATAAGAAACGCACCCTATGATGAAATTATGTGAACATATGCTGTAATCCGAATGAAAGGATACACATTGCCATGTGTCCATCATAATATCCGTGTACTAATTGATAAAAAATAAAAATAAAAAAAAAAATAAAAAAAAAAAAACCATGTATAATATCCACACAGGGCGACTCCGGAGGACCGCTCCAGGTTCGCGGCAAGGATGGCCGTTACTTCCTAGCGGGCATCATCTCTTGGGGCATCGGCTGCGCCGAGGCTAATTTACCGGGAGTCTGCACGCGAATTTCCAAGTTCGTGCCCTGGATCCTGAAGAACGTCACATGAGCTCGAAGCCCGCGACGCGGCAGGAGGAGCCGACCTTGATACCGAGGATCAACAGCAGATAATCGTCCGATTGGCGCTCCGCTGTTAGTTTCTGTCCGTTTTCTCAGCGAGTTTGCGTGTGCAGGACGAAGCCGTTGCAGCGCTTTGCTCTCTTTTCTTTTATTTTTGATTTATTTGTCTTTGCGTTTATCGCGATACGGAGCCACCGAGCGAGACGCGATTTGTAATTTAGTAATTAAATGAATACTCACGGTGTTGATGCCGAGGAAAACCCGCCCGTAAAAATTTTATTTTGTTATTTGCGGCGATGAGCGGGTTCGAGTGGGGTTTCAGTGCGCGTGAAGCATCAATGATGTTTGTGTATTTATATAAATGCGAGTGAATCGAACGATTAATATATTCGCATAGATTTTTAAGCGATTCTTATAAGTGCGCTAAGTCTCGCTTGACTCGCGGCGCATACCGAATGAATGATGAGATTGCAAAATTCCTGTCTCTTATGGCGAAACGTTGAAATTCAAGATCAACAGGGAATATTCAGCTATTTATTATCACTGCCGATTATGTATAACGAGATGAAATCATAATAACATTGTTATGAAGAGATACATATTTCAAGCATTTATTAGTCAAGTAAATATATGTTAACGAGAAAACAAAAACAAAACAAAAAAAAACAAAAAAAAAAACAACAACAACAACGACGACAAAAACAAACAAAAAAAGGAGATAAAAGAACAAAAAAAATTTTATTGACCGAGAACTGAATGTTGCTTTGCTTGAACGTTAAAACTATCGTTTATTAAAGAAATTCATTTAATTTATTCTTTACATTTTACTATTCGCATCAATACTTATTTATTTATAAGTACTGAGCATAATTTTGTAATCAATTTTTACGTATTATAAACATATTTGCTGTGCTATTATTTCGCATAACTAAGCAAATGCATATATCGTGATTATTTATCATCGTACGTTTATTACAAAAATATATTATACTAACTTTAATTAATAAGATCTTTCGTTGGTTTATAAAACATGGAGCATCGAGCTCATAATAAAAGCAGTTTTTTTTTTTTTTTTTTTTTTTTTTTTTCACTATCGTACTAGTCGCCGTATAATCAAGGTGGGATTTTCGTTTGTACAGCGCAACATATTTTGTAAATGCTGAATTCTTGCCCTTTATATTTATTTTTTATTTTTATTCATCTTTTTTTTTCTTCGTATTTATAAAGCTTCATTTTCATGTATCCTCATCCTTTTATATCGTACATTTTATTGTCATTGTACAGTTTATACACGTATGCATAGCAGTGTTACACAAACATGAAAATATTATTTCAACCTCATTTTTATGCTTAGTTTAATATCTTTTCCTGTAAACTATTTCTTTTGTATTGACTGTTTTAGTTTCCTTAGTTCAGATAATTTTGTACAAAGCGAAAATTTGCAATTCGTAATGACGAATGAAAACCGAGAATCTAATTTAAAACATAATACTATTATAGATAATAATTATTATATATATATATATATATATATATATATATATATATATAATTATTTATAGAGCTTGTTATTTCTAAGTATTGCCAAATAAATACAAGTTGATTATTGGATTTTCTATTTAATATATAATTTTTTGCATATAAATAGTTGAAACTTTAATATACCATTGTATAATAATTTCTGCTGTGAAACTGAATTTTTTTTATATACCTTAAAAGTTTTTACAACTGATTATTTATTATAATAGCATACAAAAGTATTCTTATAACAATAAAATTTATGTTTTACGTTTATAATTGCATGCGTTAATACAAACAAACAAACAAACAAACAAACAAACAAAAAATATACATATATAACTAATGCTTATTCTACATACGAATCTTTTAATCAGATATTCTTTTAAGTACGAAAATTTTCATTGTAAACACCTTTCTCTAATAAAAATCAAGAGACTAGATTTTAAAACAGATTAAAAGTAAAAGTACGATAAAATTGCCAAATAATCGATTTATTAAATCTATTTATAAAATAAATGATCATAATACTTCATAATAATACAAAATTTCATTAAAATAAATAACTCTGATCATAGATGCAAAATATAATACTTATCAAATCGGTAGATTTCAGGGACAAAATTGTACCAAATATATTATTAGATTATGGAATAGAATATATTATTTTTATTTTAATATAAACAGGAAATTCCGTTTCGATGCGAGTAACCTATTTAAATAAAAATATATGGAAAAATCAACGTATATTTAACAATATTAATAATCAATCTTCTAAAATTATTAACATTATTCAAACTAAAATGATAAAAATAAATTTTTAAAATCTCCAAATATATCATAAAATAATATTAATTCACTGGTATTTCAATAAAAGGTACAAATTCATTAATAAAATAAAAATATAAATAAATTAATAAAATACTTATTGGAAATTGAAGGAACGTAAAGCAATACAATAATAAATCAAGATCATGAAACATTAGGATAAAATTTATTTGCACAAAATATATTATAATAATTTCGGAATTGCGATTAACAAAAAAGAATGAGCTGGCGCCATAGTTATCGTTGATATAATCTCAGATCATTCATTCAATTATTGCGAAAAGTACAAAAATCAAACTTTATAATTCGACTTCACAGAACTATTGCAATTGAATTTTTCTAACGGAAAAAATTCTCCCATATAAAATACTACCGTTAAAATAATTTTAAATAGTAATAGAATTTCGCTTTAGATCGCTCAACAATGGGATTCGTTCATTTTTCAAATTCCAATAAAAAATCCTCGATAAATATTATTCCTGTAGTAATTCTCGTCAATTGGACATCCGGAAGACTATTCGCTGTCAACGTCCCATCTTCATACTCTTTATTATTATTTAAATTTGCGTCCTTTCACAGTTGCCTCTCGTCACAGTATCCGCGAATTCAGCGGATCATCTATGCGGCCGGCGATAAGGGAAGCGGATGTTTCGTCGTCGATGATGAAGTAGAGAAACGGATGATCGACTGAGAAAGATACAAAGCCAACTCTGTCCAGAAGACCATCAGCTAGAATGAACAAACGTTACGTGGCTATGAAAAGTGAAACTTGACCATCCACTTTGCGTGTACGTAGGCATAAAAATTTCTTACGCAACGTGAAAAGAATTGACGTAGGAATTGACGTGATAAAAATGTGAATAATTATAAGAATAGAGAAAGTCGATATTTTACAATTGTAATTTAGCTGTTTAATTAAATAAAAATTTATAAATATTATAAATTTTTATTTATGAAGATGTTAGCTTATGCATATGTGTATATATATATATATATATATATACAAGTGTATGTGTAATTATTAATTTTTGCTTTATTAAAACAATTATTTAATGAATTTATTTTGAAAAACTCGAATGAGATAGGATAATGATTTTTTGCTTCGAAATTGTCTCAATATTTTTTGTTCGAACAATATGAAAGAAAAACGCTAATTCGTATATTTCATAATTTATATAAAATCAGCCTTAAACTATTAGGCTGAAAGCTTTTTTAATAAAACTACAATAATACACTACAGTTGAGAGAACGTGAAAGACCTTTGATCCCTTTATAAGAATTCAAACACTGAAAAATAATTGCAATGCGGCAATCTCAATAATTTTCATAACAAATGCTTTATTAATATAGAAACGAGAATTATTTTAAAATTGGTTTGCCCTTAAGAACTGTACATTTATACTAATACAGAAGAATGTAAATATAAATTAAATCTATTCGCTTTGTTAGCAATTTGTAATAACACTGAATAATATAAAGTTGAACATTTATTCATGCGTATTTTGATATCGATATATGTAGATATTAAATTTCAATTGTCAACATTGAGAAAGACTATAATAAAATAAACGAAATATAATTTCTACGTGTCTTCAATATTTATTTTATACATAATATTAGAATTCTCAGAATTTTCAGATATTTTATTTAAAACAGATTTATAAAATTATGGCAAGCGTCGATGGATTTACTACAATAGCAAAAATAAAATAAATCTGAGTTCCTTAATAATCCCCTTTAGCTATCGAACAATATATACTAATATATCGAAGAATAATAAAAATTGCTACAACTGAAATAAATATCGCAATCTAATTAAGTGAATATTCAATGAGCGAAATCGAGACAACAATAGATGAAAATACAAAATAGTATTGTAGTATCGTGAACGTGAAAATGAACAAATGAAAATAAAGGATAGAATTAATCCAACTATTAAAAGAACAACTAACTGGTTTTATAATGTTTCTCTCTCTGTCTATATATATATATATATATATATATATATATATATATATAGTATACACAATACGCAGACCTATTTATCAATTTATCTCTCTTGCTCTCGCAGAATTGTCTTGGCACTGACTCAAATATCAAGATATCAGCACTTAGTTTAAAATATGTCTGAACAAAATCTCTCGCTTTCTTCGTTACAAGAGTGAGAAAATTCAGAGTGGTGCATCGTCACGAGTATATGCTTTAATTGAATGAATGGGGAGAGATAAAAAGTCATTGATTCATGACATTGTCAGCTGTAATTTTATTTGGTATTTTTCTGTTTCCAAAAGAGTAAAATAAAAAAAAAAATTGAAAATTTTCCTTGCTATCTAAGAATTTGCTCTATTATAAATTTACTTGATATTAATGCAAAATGCATTCATTATTTTTTATACAAATTTATTTCAGAAAATTTTACTATAATTTATATTTACCCATTAGTAGTGGTTTACATAGTTTCCATAGCTTATAGTTTCTTTTCTTCTTCTTTTTTTTTTTTTTTTTTTTTAATCGTATTACATTACTTACAACTGCTTCCAAAATAATTAATATTCAATAAGTCCATCAATTTTAATTGGGTAAATTATTATTTAAGCGTGTATTTATAAATCTATTTTCATTAAAGCGCAATCCATATTTAAATATTTTATTAATTATTTTGTAAACAAGACTTAACAAGTTTACAGTAGTGTTACTCTCTAAAAATATGTGAAATATTTGTAATACATTTATATTTAATGAAATTATTTTTTTATACACGCGGACGAATGATGCATTCAAGTAAAATATTTGCTATCTAGAAATTAAATCACGTAACTTTCAGAGGATGCAATCGAGATATGTTTTTATTAGTATATGAACGTCGTAGAAGTTTTGCTTAGTACTATTGATGGAATACGTTGAAATATCATTGGAATGAAATATAAACATAATATAATCGATATTTATATAAATATCAATTTTTATCGCCATAGAAATTGAATATCGGGAAAAGTTTCCATTTATTACCAAATTAACTTTAACGAAAGTTTGAAAGAAAATCTTATAATCCTCATATTTTACAAATAACAATTTTTAAATATTGTACTCTTGATAATTACTTCTAGTCTAAACTTAATTTATAAAAATTATCGCAATTCTATTTTATAAATAATATCGCGTAAATCTGTAAACTAACGGACATCATAAAAAATATGTTTTACCTAATGATTTCTAAATTATAATGATTACTTAGTTCTGACCACATTTTTAGATTAATTATTTAAATGATAACAAAAACGAGGTTTCCAAACACTTTTTGTCTCTTATGAAATCGATGGAGTATATTAATAAACTATATTAATATTCTTAAATATTTTACTGTACAAACGTATTTACAAAAAGTTATTAGTCTATAATAATTTTACAATATATAAATAAGTAAATACGTAAGATTTGTGAAAATAATGACCATGAAATCCCGTATGAATATATTATTCATCCAATGACTCCAAAGTGTTTGTATTCAAAGGAAAATATAATATCACAATTTAACTAAAAGCTCGACTTTGCAACTTCCTGATTCATGATGATATCGAATATGGAGAAACGAGAGAGAATTTCAGACTATGCATTTATTTGTTTATTATAAATAGTACAAATAAGTTGAATGTTACTTTTGCATTTCGTTAACTAGATTGGTAAGGGTGTGGTGCTCTTCGATCATTATAGATGTTTACAAATCTATTTGTTCGAGGCTTAAGGGAAGAAAAAAATGTACTTTTTCTGCATTATCCATGAGAATATGGAGTAGTTTACGTTAAACGATAGGTAAATATTTTGTTATAAATTCCTTCTTAATCAATAAATTGCCGTGATAATAAATGTGAAAAGCGATTGGTTATATTTTTTGGGTTAATTATCGTTTTTCATAACAGAACGAGAACTCGAGAATGAAAGTATCAATTATATTATTTGGATGTTATGCGTGTATGTGGCATCGATAAATCCCCAAGAATATTTCATATCGAGAATCATCATTAGAGAAATCGAGCCAAACTCGGATTTATTCATATTTCCAATTCACTGAATACTGAATAATAAATGTATGTATGAAGTGTAAAGACATTTACGAATTACAATTCGAATAAAGTCCGAGTTTGCACGTTTGGCACAGTGGGGCGAAAAGAAAATATCCAAAATCCAAGCACATAGTAAATAAATACGCGTAAGGGCTTATTTGTTCGTTAAAGAGAGAGAGAGAGAGAGAGAGAGAGAGAGAGAAATAAATGGCGGCAATCGCGTAAGTGGTTAAGATGATAAGCCGTTCGTAAACTTAATTGTCTTAATCGCGAGGCATAAAATGCCTGTAAAGGCCATAAAGACAAGCATTCTAAAGTGTTGAAAGCAGCCAGGATTCAGTAGTCGAATAAAGCTCGGGCAAAGCCTCGGTTAAGCATTGAAGAGCGAAGCTGAAGCGAAACTGGAGGGGCTCGCGCCGTACCTGGTCGCTGAAATCGATAATCGTCCCTGCGAGGCGGCAGGATAAGCTGCGGCTTCCCTAGCAGCGGATCTCCGTTGCTGGTCTGTGTGCCATTACCACCTGCGTCCTCCTTCATGTAGTTGCGGATGTTTACGGCGATGCTCTGCTGAACGTCGCGCGCATACACCCCGAGGTCGGGCGTCATCGGCGAGAGGTCAGCCAATCGGGGCTCGAACACGTCCTTGATACCCAGCTGTAAGAAGGGGATCGAAGCTTTCAATGGGTCTTTTATGGTGATGTTGCTCATGATGTAGTGGGCGCGTAAAGCATGGAGTTCGTAAAAGAGCTTTGATCGCCGTGTGGTTGGCAAAGTTGAGATTTGCCGACGGTATTAATATTGTTTCGGCTGTTCAAATTTTCGTTCGTTTGCGTTAGATTGCTAGTATTAGCTCACATGTTGAATGTTTGAACAATGTCCACACATATATGACGAGGCTAATAAATCAAATATAGCAAATATACGTGGCCGACGCGTTACATAGCAACAAACAGTCCTTGCGTATGGACAATTTAATTGCTTCGAGTGAAAATAAAGTCGTGCGTGAGATGGTAAGGCTTGCGAATTGTAAACAATAATTAAACGAATTGCGAACAGTAACGGCTCGTACTAAAAAACGGCTTCCGTAGCTTAACACATGCTTTCCTTCTCAAATGCACTAAACGTAATGTACTATAGAAACTATAAATTACTACACCCTTCGGACATTTTTATTTCAAGGCAAACTTTTCATTCTTCGAGGACACTTTTCCATTTGATGACAAACTGATGCACCAAGTCTTTCATAATACATGATGATACGTTATCATCTAACAGATAATATTAAGCTGACATTAAAGAATAGGAAGGATTTACAAAGGCTTATGATATAATTTCGTAAGTGAATATATGAAATAAATTGAAGGCAATTAGCTTAGGAATGGATTTTAATTGCTTCATAGACATACGCGCACACACACACGCACGCACGCACGCACGCACGCACGCGCGCACGCACACGCACACGCACACACACACGCATGTATATATATATATATATATATATATATATATATATTTGGCTGTTGCATTAATTAAATCAAAAGTATTTGAGAATATTTCATATATTTTACTTCGTAATTAAAGAATTCAAAGATTCGTATAATTATTGCATGACTTTTCATTTTGTAAAACTTTGGCTAAATCCGTACAGCAGGTAAGTAAAGTGAAGTTAAAGATTCGTTTAGAAAAATGAGTGAACAACGTTTAGTAAATTACACTCTTAATACATAATAATGAACACCATTTTTACACGTTTAACAAAAGATATATATATATATATATATATATATATATATATGCGATTATCATAGTACTAAATTATCTAGAGTATTTAATAATCTCTATTGTTTTTCAAATGCTTGCCTTGTTTATTTTTAGATGCAGAGTATATAATATATGCAATGATAAATTACATACTTTGCGAGAATGCCATTTTATAAATTATCTCAAATTAATCATCATTAATCTACTTATTTTTCGGAATTTCGAATATTAATGATTAATTAATAGTAAAAGATAGAACACAATTCATTATTAACTGTCTTAAAGATAAAAACAATCATATCCGTACTATTGATTATAAATTAGTGAAGTTAATTGCAAGATTTTCCATCTTTTTTTTTTTTTTGCTTTTCTTGTTTTACTATCTCATAAGACCCATTCGAGCTCACATGAATTTATTAAATAATTACACGCAAGGGAAAAAAGTTGAAACTAATATAAATCCTCTTAAGGCCTGATATTATACGATTTCATTAAAATTTGTATCTACCAAATACCAAAGCGTAATCCACTTTACTGGTAGTATATATGTACGGCATAGCAATGATTAAAATTAATTTTTTTTTTTTTTTTTTTGCCCCCATGAAAAGCTATTTCTTACTTGTTACTTAGGCTATTTGCAATCCAAACCGTTAGTTCAAATAAAATTCTATTAATTCTACGAGACAATCATTTTTTTTTTCTTTTCTTTTCTTTTCTTTTTTTTTTATCTACTCATCCGAATAGATGCACGTATGACATAATTTATTTAGAGCTACAGGGATTATCTTGAAAATTACAAAGTATTTTATAAAGATTATATAAAGATCGTAATGTCGTGTGCGTTTTATCTTTCGTCGTTATTTTATCGAATTCTCGAATATAAAAGTTAGATTAAAGAATAAAGTTTAAGCACAGTTTCTCGATTGTCGTATCATTTACGATGTTGGACAGATTCATAAAACCCTGAACCTCGTTACAACGAGCTTTCAAATCACAAGCATTACGATTGTACTCACCCTCTGCAGGTAAGGTGTGAGGGTGACGAAGCCCCGGAGCATGAAGGAGGGTATGGTGGCGTGCACCCAGGTACCCTGGAGCCTCCTGCGCAAGAGCCGCAGACTATGCCCGGAGAGTTCCCGCGCCAATCGGCCCGTATCGACCCTCTCCGTCGGCAGGAACAGCATCACGTTGTACCTGGGATTCTGTGGGTGGGAGAGAACCAATGAGATAAAGACGTACCGAAGCCGGAGGACGAATGACGCGAGGCTCGATTGGCCTCGATCTTACTCTACGGGGGATGCTGTCCCCATTCTTAATTAAATATTCCTTAACTGCGCATCCGTTTTGGATGAAGGCGTAAGATACGACAAACCTACCGATTTATAAATCCATTACCGACTACTTTATTGCAGATAATACGCGCTTAACCTGCTTAACTTACTTCCTTTTCACTGGATTAACACGTGTAACGTTTGCCTTCTCGTCCCATCGAAATTAAACATCAGAAATCTAGATTGTTTATATTCATATTCATAAGTCATTGAAAATTGAGGTGTCTTTTTTGTTAATATTAATTTTATATGGCAAACTTTTGGTACTTTGTACCACTGTAAGATGTTATTACGAAAGCTATTACTTTTCATCTTAAATTATCGATGTTTGAATAACTCCACCTGGCTGAGCTGGAGCGAACTTTAAAAAGGAATGTGCCTTAATGCTGCACTCTTTGAAGTAACTTTGAAAGGGTGAATACAATTTTTTAATTCTATTGAAATTTATAAAGTTATGGACTTATGAAGGTTGAACGTTTAATCGGCCGACTAATCACCAGTTGGTGAGAACGAATTTTGTATTTTTCATATCTAACAAAGCTTTTCAACACATTTTAAATAAGAACAAATGCACAATTAGCTATATCTTATGTGCATCTTATAAAATAACAATTATTTCGAGATAATTATAAAAATTCTTCGACTTTGCCAATAGTATAACGTACCTAATGTACCGAATATACTGCACTTAACGAAGGTTCTAAATAACGAAGAAATAATTTCTATCGAAGTTGCAAGTGACACTTGGATGAAATTTACCTCACCAATGAGGAGAAAGAAGAAAAAAAGATGGCAATCATAAATACACAAACGTATACTAACATCCAATGGGAATTCGAGAACGGCAGCCTTGAGCGAAGGGAAGTAGGCGAAGGGCAAAACTGCTGTGTAGGAAGATGCCGGCACGTTCGCCACTTCGCAACCATTTACCAAAAACTGCAGGTCCACCACGTCATGGGAATTTTCTGGCAGAGATACCTGGTCCGCCCATATGTCAAGATCCTGCATCCATAATCCGTCATCTGTAAAATTGTGAGTGATATTGTGAATATATTGCTAATAAATACACAAGTGATTCGAGTCTGACACTTTCCTCTCTTCTTCGTTTCTCCTTTTTAATCATTAAACGCACTTGCCATTTATGCTTAGAATTTATTTTATAATACACTGATAAGACTTTATATCTAGCTACCTGGTAAGACTTATAATTTAAAAGTTCTATATAATTTATTTGACAAGTGTGTTGATTAGAAAAATAATCAACCAATTAATTAATATTGTTTATTCTTTAATTATTCTCTATTACGTGCGAACGTTTATTCGAATGTTCACAAAGTTTTTGCATAGTCAAGTAAAACTTAAAATGTTTTATTAATTAAACTATTTATAAAGACAATAATATTTATATTATATTTTTAACGCCGTGAATTTATTTTTAAAAACAATGGAAGCGTCATATTTTCACCAAAATTTCTCGCATAAAGAAAACTTCTAATTTTCTTAAATACGTCTGTGGTTATTACTAATATTGATACCGCAATATTATTATTAAGTAATAATTCGTGATTATTAAGATATAAATTTTATGAAACAAAATCTATATATATATATATATATATATATATATATATATATCAACGACTTACAACAAAACCTCATGTAATGTAATATTTGATGATAATTTTAATAAAAATATATATTTTTTATATAGTATTATTATAATTAATATTTGTGTGTATTTAAATGTACACTTTAATCCAAATAGAATAAATTCAAATCATATACTTTAGTTTCGAAATTAATAGTTAAATTATTTTACTTATTTTAAGCAATTATTTATTTTTATTTACACAATATTTTATACTCTCCTTATGCAGTGTTTTCTTAAAAATATTTTATTAATTGAGAGAGACTTGAAGTTGTATTGAAATAAAAATTACAATTTAGATATTTAATAACAATAGAAAATACTATAATATATTTCAAATGATGTATTATTATTATTATTATTATTATTATTATTATTATTATTATTATTATTATTATATAAGAAAATTTGCGAAATAGAATTGTTTATAAATTTTAAAAATAAATGTTTGCGCTCCTTTTACAGAATATAGACTTGCTAATCTAAATGTATATTCTTTACTGTGTATTATATTTGCTTATTACAAGATATCAACAAATTGTAAAAATAATCTTCTGAAACTGTACATTGTCATAATTATAATATTTTTTACGCAACAAATTACTATAGAAATTATTATGGAAAAATTGAAAATCTCTTGTATATAAACAAATAGTTACATTTATATTTAAATCAAATAATAATTATTTAATTTCAACAATTACAGCATTGCATTACTATATATTATGTATTATGATACCTTGTATGTACAATAATAGTAATAGTATAAAACAAATGATTCTTAGACTTAATTTATTCATTTATTTTATCACAATTCTCGTATTTGTTTTATTTTTATTTATTTTAATTTATTCATTTTACTTACACTTCTCATATTCGTTGCTTTTCATTGCATATTCATTGCTTTGTTTATGCTTTAACAAATATAATGAAATAATTTGTTTGAAATATTTCATTTACGTAAAATACAATTGTTAATGAATTATTTATAAAAAGTACTCTTTGTTCTTTTTTTTTCTGTAAGGTATAATATTCTATTACATTTCTATTACATTTTTATTTTACTCTTATATTTATAATGTATCTCATGTTTTATAATTAATATTTTCTATTTAATCCTATTTATGTATGACAGATTTTTAATATAAGAACGGTTTTTCTAGTATAATAAAATATATATATATAAAAAAAAAAAAAAAAAAAAAAAAAAAACATATCTATAAAAGCATTTCCAATTGTATATTTTTATTACAGCAATTTTTTCGAAATAGTAAAACCTCGTTTTTTGTACTTTTGTACACATTACTATAAAACGTTTAAATATACATATATATATATATATACATTAATTATCCTCCACATACACGCGGATGTATTATAACATGGGGAGGGGCTATAGATTATAATGCTACCATGAAAATGTAACACAGCTGTGTCCTTGCAGTATGATTATCCTTTTTCAGTGTAATTATTATAAATTAAAGAAGTATATTGTACAACATAGCAAGTGTCTCAATTATTAATTTAATTGATTATTCCGACTATATTGTGATTATTGTAAATACTCCTTACATTCTTATGCACATATACATTTATGCGGTCCACGTTAACATTTTAACGTCTTCCATTTTCTTTAATACCAATAAATTTCAAAAATAACGACAAGTAATTGCTCGTATTTCTTTACTCCATGAAAATACAAATACCCATAAAATGAAGATACTAAACTTTAAACTTGCCTTTCATACACTTTGCATCAAATATATATATATATATATATATATATATAATACAAAGTAACTACTACAATAGCGACGGTAAGTATTACAATGACTAAGTTTATAACATTTACTATCTCAATTTATTTCGAAAGTGAAAGAATGAAAATGGTTCACCCAATACAGACGAGTTTGTAATTTAATTTTTATTTGAGATTATTTCTATCTTTCAATGTGACTAGTTATTCGGCTTTTACATAACATTATTTATTCTTTGCTATTTTTCATTTTATTGACACTCATTTTATTACGGTCTTTAAGTGAAAAGTTATTGAATAAGTGATATTTTCTTTTAAAGTTACGATTAACAGAAATATTCAAAAACATTTAAGCTTGAATAGAGCTTAGAATTAAAATAAAAAATATAAAAAAAAATATCAATATTTATCAATGACTTTTTTTTTTTTTGTTTAATTATTTATAATCAAGTACAAATCTAATACATCGTTATCCATATTGATCAAATATTGCTAAGTAAATAAGTTTAAAACAAAATTTGTATACTCGAATAAATATAATTTTTAATTGTTACTCCACTTATATTTCATATCTTATAATTTAAAAAAATGTGTTAACGATTAAAGTCGCGGAAACTACAAATTATAATTGTGTAACAAACGAACTTTCATTTTCATTATTAGTCTGACGTAAAATTCATACTTTTTGTAAATTATTTCAGAAGTAAAGAATTGTTAAGAAATCACGTGACTCTTTATTGTCCATTTTTATGAGAATTCACATTTGCAAATATCAATCTTAATATTATTAGTTATACATATGTATATATATATATATATATAAAATTTATTTGGTTGATCAGCTGTTTGGCATCCATTAAATTCGGAGAAGACGAGCGTATACGCTAATCAGGACAATGATAACGCACACACAGTACAAGGATTTAAACGGTAATAGAACTTGATTTGGTAATCGTAAGAAAAGACTTGACTCGAAGTTATTTTAAGAATATTATTTGATTTATTGATTATCATTTATTCGATAACATGTCGTTGCGCGGAGTGATGCGAACGATCGTTCAAAGTCCTTTTAAAGTAACACGCGTACTTATCAATATTCCAAGTTGCATTTGTCAGGCGTTTGATGGTAAGTTGCTTATAAAATTTTAATTAAGCTTAAAGTCTATCGGAAATAACTGATGATTGCACGATATATGCGTGATTATTCAATTGGACGGACAGTTAATTGTAAGAGAAGACAGTTAGCTTTAAAACTTTTAAGACTCAAACACTTTGTATTACAATATATTTTGATTTTAAATTGCTATTAATAATAGCACAGGGTATAAAGAAACTTATTTCCGTCTCTACTTATCAAGTGGAAATCTCTTCGCTAGCGTACAAACAATAATACAACTTTATCTGTGCACTTGTCATAATTAAAAATGACTGACAGAGCGCCAAGACTGTTTCGCGTGAGCGAGAGCCTGTAATTATCAATTGTTCGCATTAATAATATTCTGAATTTTTTCTCTTTAAAATCATCCTCCCCCCCCCCTCCCACCGCCACAACCACAACCACCCATCCCTCCCTCCCTCAAAACTGTCGAGAAACATACTTATACAACACATTAATACTATGGTAAATTAAAAAAAAATGCCTGTCGAATAGTTCTAAATAAATTATAGGAGCGCGAGCGTTCATTGTGTACCCATACCGAGCCAACTGCATATCACACGTGAATCCTCGACAATTGAAATCGTGAAGTTACCGGCCGCCCGGGCACGCAAGCTAATCGCCGTGATCGCGAGCGACCCTTTCAAATGATCGATAATAAGAGCGAATGGATCGTACGTGCTCGGACGAGTAGTCTTAGCCAATGGTTAGGTTAGAGCCGCTATTATGGCATTCCCTATGCACGCGAATGGGAATGTTTCGGTGGCAATGGCCTACCTGGAATAGCGGTGAAGTAGGCGTCGCTGCTACGTCTCCGTCGGTCGGCGCTGCGACGTCTCACGGGCGCCGATGGTATGGCCGTCGGCGCCGCGACGGTCGCTATGTCCTCCACGACGAGTGTCGTCGCCTCGGCCAAGTTGAGCGGCGACGTCGTCGTCGAGATCAATGCCACGTCCGGAGCCATTGTCGTCGTTGGCAACGCTGCTTCCGTCGTCGTTCTGTTAAAGGGAAGCCCTCGTGTCGGTGCATTAAAAGTTGGCGAATAAATATTGGACTTTAAAACGAGCGTCAGGAGCGACTTATTCTTAATCGTCCTTTCGCTTGACACTCCCTTCCCGTCGAGTGTGTTTTTCGTTTTCTCTCCCTCTCACTCACTCACTCGCTCTCTCTCTCTCTCTCTCTCTCTCTCTCTCTCTCTCTCTGTATAGAAATATCATGTAATTGGCTTAGCGAATAATCGAAAGAGTCGCTGCTTATATCGCGGCAGCTTTATCACGCAATAAAAGTAATTCCAATACCGAAATCCCGTACGACGCGTAGCCGATATTCTCATCCATACGTGTGAAAGTAAAGTTAAGTGTTAAGAGATGCCATTGGCAAATCAAGGCCAAAGAGATTGAATAGAGACTCGCATGGAATTATTAATGGGAGCTTCGTTGATGAAATTATTAAAGGGATATGACAAAAATTCACCAAAAAGCTTCATTAGTTTGCCTTAATACATTTATCGAGTTGTTCGCAATGGGATATTTCGAGACTCGAGGATCATTATGATTACTTACGCCTGCGTCGTCGTACTGGTTGTCACGGGCAAAGTCGTCGCGGCTCCCTCAGCTTCATCCGACTGAGAGACCGAGGATGACATGACTGTACCTGTCGTAGTCCCCATTGTCGTCGACGTATCGGTGTTCGGCAACATTGTCACGACACTGGGAGATGTTGTCGTACCTGCGCGAACATCGTTATACTCCGTGTGGACCAATTAAAATAAACTCGTCATTTATAACTTTCAAAGTAATAACGATGCCTTTCAAAAGTATTCTAATACATAGATGTTTAGCATCGACAATTCTAATTATTTAATAAGATATTGTATTAATAGCGTAATAATTGCCAGTTTATTCGATTTAGCCTTTGTAAACATTGCAATGATTTTTAATTGTATTTATATTTTTTCTATGTAAACATATCGAAGATTTAGTTTTACTAGATGAAAAAAATAAATAAATAATTAGCAGAACAATTATATGCATGAGTGAAACATTGAAAGTGTTAAATTACATATGTATTTCATGACAGTTTAGTGTGTTGGTAATGTAATTTAACCGCTCAAATGAAATTGTATGGACGAGTAAGAGTGTTGTTCAATTCTCACTGATAGCAGCTACTTTTGCAAATCGGATAAAAGCATTCGTTTTCCAACTGTCAGAAGCAAATACAACAGAAAACATTTTGGAATATCATCGAGACTTTATTACATTTACAATATATATATATATATATATATATATATATATATTATTCTTCCCTAGTCTAAAATAATAATATTGTTGTTGGTAGAAACAGTGTGCGCTATTACTCGTACCTGGTTGGTTTGTTTTTGCTATTGGCGCATCGGTCGGGAAGATTGTCGATTCAGGTGGCAGACTCGTTGTCTGGGTATCCGGTGTCGTAGTCGGCGACATTGTGCTTGTTGACGAGCCCTTTAGACCGAAATTTGACGTGCTATTAGCGTCAAAGTCAGATAGATCGACCGACAAGTCGAATCCATAGAATCTAAGGATATCCTCGTATTCGCCACGTAAACTTGTATTCTCACGGTTGAGGTTCAGTCCTCCGAGGAAGCCGTCGGGATTGAGATATGTCTGAATAACAGTGATAACTTGAATTCAGACGAATTTTTTTGTTGGAAATTTTTCAATATTAATGTAATAAAATAGTATTATTATAATTTTGGATTACACTTAAGCAAAAGCATTATTGAATTTCTAATTTGAATGTAATTATAATGAGAAAATACTATTATTCTTTAACCTAATATCTAATATTAAGTATTAAATTTTTACTGATTGTACATGACTTTTTATCAATAATTAAATTTTAATCCAATATAATTATCATTGAAATACTAATACTTATTGAATTCATTCGTTTAACAACGATAATAATAATAGTAAATTATTTTTTATTTTCATCGTATTATTTATAAATTACTTGATTGTATAATCTACGTTTTATATTATCGTAATACCCTATATTTATCAATATCATAATTATTTTGGATAATAAATTTTAATATTAAGTTATAATAATCATATTTCTCTAATGATTTTCAAACTTCTTTTATTCTCTTTTATTATTATATACATACATATATATATATATATATATATATATATATATATATATATATATAAGATACTATGAAAACACGCCGAATAGATTATATCATATCAATTGTATATATTAATGCCCCTATCGTAAACAATTATATATTCAATTTATAGTATTCCAAATAATAATATTAATGTCTATATAAAGTTTAATATTCGTTATTATAATAATATATAGATTATGAAAGTATGAGAAGGGATAAAGAATTCATTCCTTTACTACAGTACGATGATTAGGTTTTTAAAAATCTTAAAACATAAGATTTTCCGTATTGACAAACAATATGTAAGCGATGTGTATTAGCATAAAGCAATTCATATATATGTATATGTATGCTTATCGATAAATAATGTTTGGAAAAATTTGAAAAGTTCTTTAATAAAATGTAAATTATTGTTTTTATAAATATATATAAATATAAAATAAACAGAAAATTGGAGCCCGAACCCTCGTATGTAACGACGAGATTCCCCAAAGGATAAATAACTAAAAGTAAATGATAGATTTGCTTCGATATCGAAAATGTCGTTGCATCCGCATACTAACCCAGTCACTTAAGCTGTCTAGAATCTTCCGCGTCGTGAAGATATAAAAGATCGATCCTCCCAAAAAATCCTCCATACCACGCCCCTTCGTCTCTCTCTCTCTCTCTCTCTCTCTCTTTAGGAGCCACACTTACCCTGAGTCTACGATGGATATCCCTCATTCCAACCCTAACAGCATTCTTATCACGCGGCATCCCCAACGAGTCGATAATCTGCTGACGACTGCGTGACGACGAGCCCTCGTAGAGGGCAGCCATGATAAAGCCGACTCCTGCTGGTGAAAAGGCCACGTTGCCATTGTCCAGGTATTGCTGCAATATCCGTATGCCTAGCTCGTTTATGATGTCGGACATGAGGTCGATGGCGCGTCTAGGTGGCAAGGGTAGGAGTCTAGGTCGGTACCAGGGCTGATAATGAGGCTGGAGATTCTGATAATGAGCCGCCGTAAATAATAATGGACCTGAAAGAAGCCAAAAGTAATCAAAGTATTAAATCACATTTTCGCTTTGAGACTTATGACGCGACACTTTTCTCTCAACTCGATTGCGTTAAAATTTTCACTATTTAGTTCTCAATGTTAAAAGTCGTTTCTTAATAAGTTACCGTATGTTCAGAAAACATAACACTTTATCAAAAATACCATTTCCACCCTAAGTTTCAAAAAAGTTATGTTTAAATGTGACATTTTTATGATTAGACGTTCCGTTATTGTACAACTTAAGCAGTGACGTTGACGTTGCATACATAATGAAATAGTTGTTGAACTATAATATTATTGATATACATATATATATATATATATATATATAACATATAATATAATATACAAAATATTAATCTATTAACCTGCAATTCTATTATTTATCGACATATGCATCAAAGTAACACTTACCGCGATTCACCCTCAAAAGTTACTTTATTTTGTAATGACTTCCCACGTACTTATAATACTTTAGTAATTCACAATACACAGATAAAAACGCTAATTCTTATTGTTAGTATTCAAAGAAGAAAAAAATTAATAATTATACTCAATACGAGTGTCTATTAACAACGTTGAAAACATTTTTCACACGATGCGTCTCTTTAACCTTCCTTTGCTTAATTATACTCGAGAAGTGCAAAATACACGTATGTACACAGAAGATATATTATGCAGAAATAACGATTAATGCAGGACAAAGAGAAAACTCGGCTACTTTAACGGTTTTACTTCTCAAAGTGATATACGAATTGACCGAGGCAGAGGCAAAACGAAACCTCTGTCGAGAAAATTTCGCGACTATGCAATTTCATTAAAAGATGTCGTTTACGAAGAGCTCGTGAGCTCGATCGGGATTATAATGTATCCATACTCTACGAAAATAAATCCACTTTCACTGCTTCAATAAATTGAATAGATTGAAAAGATAATGATATTATATAATGTTCTCTATGTAAATCCGTATATTAATTGAAAGAGCTGGTAAAAATCTTTAAATATAATGCCGTAAATTAACAATTCCTAATCCGACCAATTGCAACGAAAATAATAGCTAATATACCGAACGTACCATTTGCCAAATAATGCAAGTTGCGCAATACAAATTAATCTCTCGACAGAATATAAATGTGTTTATTTATCATGTTATGAGCGCTTATTTTTATCATAAATAATCAAGCTCTTAATACTTAATCCGAAATCGTTGGAAAAGCAATAATAATATTGTAATAATGTAATTTTACTATAAATGATCGAATTTCTTATTTAATTATTACAAAATACATTCTTGTCATATAAAATTCATGAAAAAGCGCAAAAGTAATGAAGAGAAAACAAGTAATGCCAATACTCACCATAATAGCGATCACCGATTAGTAATAATTCAATTATTTAGAATATTGTATTCTTTCAATACATTCAAATTGAAGAATAAATGTATGCTTCCATAACTGATATTTTTCAAATTCACCATAATGAACAAATATTATAATAATAAATGTATCAGTTCTGTCATTATAATGTCTATATGTATTGTATGTAATAACTATTTGATATTAATTAAAACAAACGGACTGATAATCATGAAAAATATCAAAAATTAGATGAAAAGTCGTAAATTATCTCCGTTAAAGTATGTGTATGAAAAATCGACAGATGCTAACTTCTTTTCACAGTCTTTTTATAAAAAAAAAAAAAAAAAAAAAAAAAAACCGTATTTTATTTTTTAAAACGCGATTCTATCTTATTAATTTATATGTCGCTATATTATAAAATTTAGAAGAATTTTGATTTGGCAAATTAATTCATATTTTTCGAATTGTTAAATATTAACATTAAATTCTATCTAATTTTTTTTTTTATTTATTTTTTGTTTTTATACTTATTTAATTTTTTCATTTGTAACATTTAAAATATAAATATTTATGTAGTAGCATCATTTAATTAACATCAATTAACGTTGGATGTTATTGCATGAGAAATCTCGATTTGTTTAATAGAAAATATATAAAAGGGAAACAATAAGAAAGATTTCAGACGTAAAAGAAACAATTGCGCAACTTTCCATAAAAGTCAAGTATAACTGAGATTTTCTTGTTCCAGTTATTCATTTGAACTGACGTTATTTGTATATTCCCGGCTTAAGCACTTTGTGGCCTAATAAAATTTATTTTCATTTTAAGTAAATTATTAAAAAATATATTATACCATATTGATGTAAAAAAAAATCCATTATAAATAATAATAAATAATAATAATAATAAAAAATAATAATAAATAATAAAAATATAATAATATAATAATGTAATAAATATAATAATAATATAATAATATAATAGAAATGTTAATAAAAAATAATACAGCGAATATTTTTAAATAAATCGTAAACGTTTACGATAAAAAATTTAATGATTAAAATAATACAGTAATGTTAGAAGTCAATTAGAATGATTATATAAAATATTATAAAGCTAAAATACAAAATGTACTACATATTAAATGTGTATTAAATTACTTTACGTATAAATTATGAATTAATTTATACTGAATTTGGAAATGTTTTGAAATATTTAGTTTTAAATTAAGTTTAAAAAATGCTATTTAAATTCACTTAAACTCTATAATCTTGGAATAAAAGTAAAATTTGTTTATAAGACAATATACATTTACATATATATATATATATATATATATATATATATTTATGTATCTTATTATGCATCTCTAAATAAGTAATAAAATATTTTCAAATCACTTTTAAATATTGCAATTTCTAGAATTAATGTTACATAATAGTTCATTATATAATAGTTAATTTATATTCAATGTATTTGTTAAGGTTAAAACATTGGTGCTTCATTGTTCTTCGATTGATGTTCAAATTACGAAATGCTGCGATGGAATTTTTGATTTTATTTTAATTTTAATTTTATGCCAATAACTATGTATTAAAATTGTAACAAAATTTAATTTTAACGACAAATGATTAATTATATTAATTTAAAAAATTCTTGAATGAGATAGAGGGGCTAAAGGAAAATTTCATTTATTTATTGATTATTCTACCCTCTATGGATTAACATAATCCAACCAACGAAACCGAATTAAAATTGAACGAATAAATTACATGATAATAAGATGTATCCAGTAATGAAAAAATTGATGCTCCGCGATGCATTATCAGCCATCTTCTTCCTTCTTTTTTGTTTTTTGTTTTGGATTCTGCAAACGTCTTTGATTGACCGAACCCCGTCTTATCAGATGTTTTTCCTTTTGTATTATTCGATCCTGATCTTATAATTTTCCCATAGCTTGCGCCACACTCGCATATGTCCGAGTAAAAAATTTATAGATTGAGAAAACAACAATAATCGATATTTTACGGAAAAAAAGTAAAAAGAAAGAGAAAGAAGAATGATTTTAGTAAACAAATAAAATCGAAAATTCTTTAAGACAAAAAATCTCTCTCTCTCTCTGTATAATTAACTATATGTTTTCTCTAATGCACATATAAGGTTTTATTTATTAATAGTTATACTGCAGATAATCATTGATATCCCAAAGATTCGAGATAACGGATGTTCTATCGAACCGTCCCGCCTAATGCAATTCCCATAAACATACAATTGACAAATGGATTTTTTTAATTTAAACGGTGAGTTTACTAGTGTTCGTGAGGAAAAATGCAAAAGGACTGTTGAGAAACGAGAGCACGACGTGCCTGAGCATCGTTTAAATAATTTACTCGTAACACGTGCAGCATGCAATAATCGTTATCGCTCGTATTGCCTGCGGCTTGCGATCCCGACGCGATGCACAATGGGACTGAGGAGTCCGAGTGTCGGGCCCCGAGAGAAAAGAAGCGACGCCTTACTCCCCCGCTGGCTAATCACAACAAGGTCGTACCGTACACAAGTCCAATCGCCGTGGTTTCTTCCTTTTCACCGAGGCTGCCGTGATGGTGAACCATTTTCTACCTCTCCAGGACGACGAGATATTAGATTTCACTAGCTCGCGTCCTTCCCTCGGAAGGAGGTTACGCGCTCAATATCATTTATCCCGGTGCTTTATCATAACGAATACAAATCGCTTTACTGTTTTATCATTAATAAGGGCCAATTAACACGAATGAATTGTCAATTGGTGCGTTTGAGCTCGATTATCATCTCCTCTCGTCGGGATAGGAAAAATAGATCCTTGCAAAATTCGATAATGTTATGTATGTTTTTATGTAATCGCATAACGATATATCATTACGAACGTCTTAAGCGTAACTTTAAGCTCCATTTAATTGGATTCGTTTAATTATCGAATAATAAGTTTTTTTTTTTTTTTTTTTATTTTTAAATGCCAATAAAACGTTACACTTTGATATGCTACAAACACTGGCGCACCCGAATACACACGTATATTGACATATAAATTTTTCTATTTCAAAGACAATAATAAATAGACGAAGGTCTAATGAAATAGTTATCAAAAAAAAAAAACTATAATTACAGAGACAATTTTGTACTACAAGTCGTGCATTTTTTACACTATAAGCGTATCTGGACTTTTTTGAGAAATTTTTTTTATAACTTCTTAATAGCCTCGATTCGTTTGAGGAATTAAAATTACAAAAAAAAATACTTGAAATTAACTATAACAAGGTTTATAATTTTTTACGAAGATTTACAATCAATGATATAATAAATTACACATTACATTTAACGTTCTATTTCAATTTAATCCGATAAAAATGTGCGTCGTTATAAAAGACCATTAAATTAATTATTATGTAAAAATTAATTTAGCAACGGTTATTAAGTATTATTATAAATAAAATGAAGAAAAAGAAATCTTGAAGAAAAAAAAAGATAGGACAAAATTCTATTAATTTATTATTTTCTAAACGTAGATATAATGAAGAAAATAGGAAGGCAATAATTGTTTTTTTTATATATATATATATATATATATTTTTTTTTTTCATTTTAACGTTAAACATACTTCAATGTTTTACTTATTCTCTATAAATCATTTAAAACATTACATGTATATTAATTTAATTAGACAGAACTCCATTACCTGTCATTCATATAATAAAAGTAAATAAACACATAAATATAGAATAAATTTTAAATAAAATTTAAATTTAAATAAAAAATAAATATGTATTCAAATGTATATATAATAATATATAATTATTATACATAAACACGTGTTGAACTTTATATAAATTGTAATTTTAGTGATATAATGTAGTTAATGATTATAATAAACGAATAATGTTCATAGTAAAAGGAAAAACGCTGTCAATCAAAATTCCTTTACTCGCATTTCTTGTTAATAAATAAAACAAAATTTATATTGAAACTAAATTACTCCAGGACGGGTGCGGCTTTAGCTCTTTAGATCTTCCTCCACTCGCGTGATATCGATCTGAGCTTTATAGTAGTCAAAGTTCTTTTTCTCGTAGCCACTTCTACATAAAAATATATCAACGACTCTCTTCGCCTACGCTTTTGAATCTTAAAGGATCAAGTGGATAACATTTTTAAAACGTGATACGTCCGAGGTAGCTTTACACGCTTTGTCGGTCTATCCTTCGTGGTCAAGGAAGAGATGGAAGCTATTCTTTGAAGAAAGTAGTAAAGTGAGATGGACTCGAACAACTTTTTCGATTTTCATTCTTGATCTTTATTTCGAAATATTTGTATAAATGAAGTTTTAACAGAGACATTGTGATATTTCCCTCTGCGGCAAAAATGTTGTGCAAATATTTGCTTGGAACATAAAGTAAATTATATAATTTATAATATACTATATAATTTTTTTTTTTTTTTTTTTAAATAGTATATAATCTAATTATAATAACAAAATTTTGAGTGACGATAATAATAATTGTAAAATAACTTTACTCAAAAAATTAACGGATACGACTCCAATGAATACATGTAATTAAATACTCATATTTAATTAAATTGTTTTTTTTAATATAAAACTTTTTAATAGTATCAGAAAAGTTAACGAATATAAATTTTACCTTATTATAAGTTATTGAATTTCCATCAATTTACATTACTACCGTAATAATGAAAGTATTTTAATACAAACTTTATTTAATATTTAAACAACGCCCTCAATCAATAAACAATGTCTTTCTTCTTTTTTTTTAATAAAAAAATTTTATATTGAATGCATTTGTCTTATTAAAAGTGACACTTCCATATAACTAATTATAATTAAAATACAAAATTTATAATTAAAATAATATTATAAAATTTAAGTTAAAACTTAGTTTTTAATTAAGTATGATAAAATTACGTACTCTTCCGAGAGAAAGAAGAAACAAAAGATAATTATAAATTTTGAACCATGAAAAGTTTTAATTTTTTATAATTTTATATTAATTACAAGGTGTTTACTTTGTAGTTTCGTAGAATTTTTTATAATTTAACATTAATAACAAGATGTCCACTTATACTTTATAGTTTTGTAAATTTTTAAAAAATTGTTTCATAATATCATAATTTTATGTCAGTATAATTGTATCTGAATTATCATATAGCGCGTTTGATTGACATATGATTATTCACATAAAATCTTAATATAATAATAAACCAAATTATAAAAGTATACAAAAAAAAAAAAAAAAAAAAAAAAAAAAAAAAAAATTGAAAATATAAATTTCTTAAATAAATGAAACAAGAGAACAAGTTTTCATAAGGTAATTAAGAAATTCATTCAATTTATGGTATTATGTTGCTTTGTTTTCTGAATTATGGTAAAGGTATTGTCGGTGGACTATGTAAAATAAATTAGAATATATATTTAAACTATAGACAATTTAAAATTTATATAATATTCATTTGCATACAAATAGTTATTACACTCCTCAGATTATTCACAATACTCGTGTAATTTTAATAAAACTTTAATGGCAATGTATATTTATACATTTAAATACAATTATATTCTGTTTTTTTTTTTTTTTTTTTATAAATACATATAATATTATATAATATTATATATTAATATAAATATCATTATTTAACGAGGAGCAGCATTGACAGTTTATATAAGTGTCATCATAATTGTATTACAATGTGAATTAAAATTATTAACGGAAACTTACTATTTAAGCATTTTGTTATAAAGTAAACAATTTTCAGATAAATGTAATATTTATTATTATTTCTCATACTAAAGATATTGAGAAAACTTTCAACTATACTAAGATATAATATTAATATTTAATTTTTCACTTGTGTAACTATACTTACTCTGTAGTTAGGGATACAGTTATTTATATTTTAAATTGTTGTATGAATTTCATTTGCTTTAAAAAAAAAAAAATAAAAAAAAAAAAATTAAACTCGTGTTTACTATTTATAAGCTTTTTATTGTTATTAATATTATACTTGATAATCCCTATGGAGTTACATTTAAAAGGATTAGTGCAGTAACATCTAATTACATAGTAGGCGAAATACCAATGTACATTTAATATAATTATTTAATGTTTAATTATAGGCAAATTCTCCCCTCCCCCCCCTCCCCTTCCAAACTATATTCATAGTTATCAAACTGACCATTGCGTTCTTGGTTCTTTCGATGCAAATATGAATAACAATAGCAATAGTTGCAATTTCGTACTAAAAAATTGATAAATTTAATGACTTAAATATTAAATAATATACTCGTGAAAATTCTATCTAAAAAATAGGCTTTCATTTGCATTTTTTAATTATGCATTGTTTTAGGCTTTAACATGAAATATTAAAATCCTGTTGTTAATAATCAACAAATTCGGTTATTTTATTGGATTTTTGTTTTTAAGTATGGATAATGTTTCAAATTCATAGTTTACAATCTATTCGCGCAGACATTATTAATCCTTAAGCATTTATTTCTTAACTAAGTAGAGGTAATCCATTAGAGAGCTTAGTATTTGTAAATTTACATATAAATAGTCTTTAAACACGCTTTACAATGTTTTGATCTTCCTCGCTTCATTAACTACTCCACTCGGGTAATAATTATCGATAATGGCTGACAATCCTGATAAAAAATAATCGCCGTAATGGCAGCAATGCAAGACAATTGCATTATTATTGCCAAATTTGCCGATCGAGCAGATGAACTAATAGTGCGGCATCCACTCGTGATCGATCGTGGCTTTAAGCCGACGATCAAGAAGTGCCTTAGTAAGAAACTATCGAGGAGCATTCACCTATGGGAGGTCAAGCTTTGTCACTGCAAAACGATCGTCTTCGTCTTTTGAACAAAGAGCCACTAAGACAAAAGGCGGCGAATGTCCTAATCGTGTCTTCCATCCATCTTGGCTTTAAAAGCCAACGAGGTTGGTGGCGGAAAACGGCGCTGACCATCTAAGCGCGACAGCGAATTCTAAGGAGAGAGAGAGAGAGAGGGAGAGAGAGAGAGAGAGAGAGAAATAGTCGAGGAAGGAGGAAAAATGGAGGCAGACAATTTACGGCTGGGAGAATGATTATCCGAGTTACGCAATGCCGAGAGTCGCGGAGCGACTTTTACCCGCTGGTAAAGCACGTAACGATCGGCGCTCGTGGTTGGGAAAAAGGATAAGCAATAAGCAGATGGACGGGAAGGATAGACAATAGGCCGACAGTGAGCGCGATATAATTGTCTCGGGATAAGCGCGGGTGAAACGATCGATGTGCCGAGGGATTTTATGAGCCTGACTAATAGCTCCTTTTTCTTGGTGGTTTTTTGCAATCGGTTTTCCGAGTCGACACGAAATAATACTCAAGCAGCAGCAGCAGCAGCAGCAGCAGCATCGAAATTTCTAGAATTGCGCGATTAAAGGATAATCTTGGCGTAAAATCCTCCTGGTCAAACGACTCGTTTATTGTGGAAACAAACTTATTGGCAGATATTAGTTTGTGAGGTTTGTTTTGTCAAAGGGGTATGACATTGAAACAACAATTTAAGCTTTAATGACAATTTTAATTTAGCACATAATCTAAATAATACATTCTTAGTTAAATTAAAGCCATTTATTGTTATATATTTAAAATAGAAATTAATAAAAAAGCAAATGTGTGCTACTACGAGTAATTTAATTACATACAAATGAAATTTATAGTAAAAATAATATTTGGTATAATGCTGTATTAGAAATAAAAAAATTAACTATAAATGTCAATTAGTGATATTATATTGTCATTTTTTGCCATTTCATTTACACTGTTTCAGTTTTCAATTAATATACTTGAACAAAGCGAAAATAATTATATATTTCTTGTACAGAAATTTCAATTAAATTTACCAAAAGTAATATTATTTATTTTTTTTTAACAAATTTACCGGACAATATACACAGATTATATTTTATAATCTTACGTACATTAAAAATACATTTGTATTAAATAAGATTCTCTCAAATTTACTAATCTGATATTAATTGGTCTATTGTTTATTATCTATGTAAGGTAGTAAATTATTATAAAATCAACTAGTATTTGTTAATTTTGAAGAGTTATTTGATGGTTGTTTATAATAATAGTTCTAAAAAATTTCACACACATTTGTAAATTAATGGTTACATTGTAATTACGCAAATCGCTCGGCTATAATTACAAAAAATTCTAAATGATTAAGATAATGAAAAGCTTATGAATAATTATTTAAAATAAGAAATTAGAGTATAATTAAGAGAAAGCAATTAAAATTTGCATAGCAACGATATAGTTGTATATTCATTTTATTCTTCGCAATATTAAAACTTATTTTACGATACAAACGGCTGGACGAAATTTTTCTCCGCCGCTTTTTTCCTTTTGTGAGAAAAAAATTCGAAATTAATGACAATTACGGCTATTGAGAATCCTGAAATAAAAGCAAATTATACGTGTAGGTGCCTGTTGCCTAGACGTATCAATTGGCGGCGACAGATTTCCGCAACAAGAATTGCGCAAAAACAAACAAGACTTACCGATGGCAAGCACAAAGAATATTCCTTGCATATCGCCCATGTTAACTTTGTGATTGGTTGCTTCCTGATTTATTTTTAATCCTTCCCAGCATTTATCCTTTATAGGTGTTCTGTCCGACATCCACTTTGTAATAAGACCCGATTCGTGCATTCGTTTTATCCTACATGACAATGCAGAAATTCATTTCCTTTTCATTTTCATAATATCAAATAAGCTTTATCGACATTTAATCATAAGATTTTAATATTAAAATCCATTCGTAATAATTTTATTGTCTGTATTCGATAGTCATATTTTTTTAAATTACTTTTAAAAGTAATTTTAAATTGCAAGATAAATAATAATCGGACAGAGTATAAAAGTATCTTAATAATATTCAGGACTTGGAGCAGTATAATTAGTTTAAAAAGAAAAATGATTATTATTATATCTGCATTGAACTTAACTCATTTTATACTTTTAGAATAATATTTAATGGAAGTTTATAAATAATTAGCTCTGTATTATCTGTTGTCAATTTGTAAATTTGATTAGAATAATATGAATTTTATTATGAATAACGAGAAACATATTTTTCAATTGTGTTATTGATATATTCATTTCATAACCTAAAAATAAGAGCTCATTTATTATTTTTTAAATTATACTGTTTATTTGAATAATGAGAAATTCAGATCGTTAATTATATTTCGAGTTCGATAACTTTGTGCAGAATTTAAACACGGACGATCCATTAAGCGCATACATAATTTGTGAAATTTATTTTTGTTTTTCAATTGTTCTTTTAAAATTGTTGCCGCTTATTGATTAAGAATTATCGATCGATCGCCACCATGTGACAGAGTGATCGAAGTTATAACATAAACTACTAATGATAATAATAATAATAATAATAATAAAAGTACTAAGATCCCTCTAATCAGGCAAAATACCATGTAAAAGCATATACATACATTATACATTGATACAGTAGACGCGTGAGAAAATAAAAAAAGTTCCAAATATCTTTTGCTCTCTCGCTGTATTGTATTTCTCACTTGGATTAAAGCGCTTTAATCGCATCATTACGAATAAATTGATATGTGATGAAGTACTTACGCATCATTAATTAATGGCAAATAAGGACTGTCGTGAGCAATCATCATGGCCATATTCTCACGTATAAAATTTTCGGCGCTTACGTGAAAGTAGCAAGTCCCTGTGTCGAGCAGATCCATCTTCATGAGAAATGCTAGTGAAATTCTCCAATCGATGAGAACGTAATTCTCAGACTTGACACGCTCGAGAGCCTGACTGGGATTCGTCGGATCCTGCCTCTGGGCACCCTCCAATAATCGTTTATACTGCGGCCAAAGCAATTTTTCACTTTCTTATTGTATTACAAGTAAATAACATGCCAAATAGTTCGTCTCGCCTTATTATTAACGCGTCAGTTGATAATTAATTATTAGCTCAATGCTAATGAATGAACAAGCTTTTTATATTTATTTACTAACTAGCTTTTAAGGCTTCTTGGTGATCTCGTATTCGAAACTCTCGACATTTTGTAAAATTACGCTCGATAGTAGCTTTAATGGCAATTTATTGTCAAAAACCAAAAAACAGATGTGCATTGAATTTGAAGAATTTCTTAATCAACTCGATCTACTGTTTAATGCACCCGTACATCTAGCACTAACGAACATTTAACTAAACGTTTAATTAGCTAATGGCCATTTATGCGAATAAACGATTGGTGTTTATAAAAAATGTGGAATTTTCTTGTCAAGTGTTTAACCGCGCTTCCCCCCTATCCACCTTATGCGAAAGACGATGGGAAAGAGCGCCTTCGTTATGAGAAATTAGCCCCGAAAGAAAAAGAGAAAAAAGCTGCGTTAAAGCTCATTAATTCGCAGAACGGTACAGAATCCCGAGTGTCTACGGGTAAAAATAATGTTCGTCGGTCCGGAAGGAGGGCGAAGTGAGCCTCACCCTGACATCGTCATCGGCCAGAGCGCCGAGGTAGAGTTCGATGGAGCTACCGTTGGGGAAGGCCCAGGTGAACTCCTCGCTACGCGCGAGAAGATCGTCGACGCTATCGATTGGCGCATCCATGCGTGGAAACGTGAGGAAGGCAATGAGATTCCCGGAGTAGGTCGCGACGACAACCATTACCACGAGCCACCAGGTACCGATAATGAGGCGTGCGCTGTCCGCCTTTGGCAAATGCATCCCACCTGTTTGTCAAACGTTTCTCACTTTTACCTTTGCGTAGAGTGATGCCGCTGGGAGGGGCCGGGGTTCTCGATATCTTGGCAGTACATCTCCGCTGAATTAATGCTTACTAGATCGTTCGATCCTCTTCATAGATAGAGAACGGACGCTTATCTTTAAAGTTTTTTTTTTTTTTTTTTTTTTTTTTTTTTTTTTTTCTTAATAAGCATACCTTAATGGAAGTCAAGCCAATTTCAATAAGTTCAGTATACAAAGACGTGATTATTTATTCCCCGAGATTTTCAAAGATCATTTAATTTACAAAGGCTTTAAGAACTGATGATTGCTTTATTAAAAGAATATCTTGTTGCCATAAGTAGCACATTAAGCACATTAAGTAAGTCTAATTAGTGATAATTATCGTGAATGTAAAAATATTTCTGAAGACTACATTCTTAAACAAAATATTTTACTCTTCAATTTAATTGATTTGTAGGGCAATATCGAAATTAATTGCTCGAGCTATTTGAAATAAACAATTATGCATTTGGCATAGAATGTAGTTAAAAAATTGTTAGCTTTGTATATTTTGTGTTTTTTTTTCTTATAAGAAAGACATGGATAATTGTTTAAGCACGAGATGTAAATGATTTGGCTGTTCATTGTAACTTTATTCTCCAAGAGTATAAATAGATTCAAGAGTAGATTACAATAACGAAAACGCATAAGGAAAATTAGGAAAATGATCGATATAGCATACTCTATAGCATCTTTTTCACTTTAATTGAATTTAAATATTCAAATGTATGTGATAAATTTGGTAATTTTTACTATGAAAAGGTACTCCCGACACTCAAATCCACGACAAATGCGTACATCAAGATTCGGTAAAGTCGATAATTATTATAGCAAATGCCTTTGCAAACGAAAAATTATTAAAAACTATTACCTTGTTGAAGAAGCGCACCGTAAATATACCAATTGCATTGCCAGGTGGTGGTGAAGCCAATGGTATCTTGGATATCGCTTGGCCTCGGGCTGAACTTAACCATCAGATACAAGATAGAGCCGATTAAGATGAGCGAGGATATCAGACAGCCCCACGTCTAGGAAATCGAGAGAGAGAGAGAGAGAGAGAGAGAGAGAGAGAGAATGGGAACGACCGTTATTTTGAGATTGAATCGTTCATTGTCGGTTAAGTTAGTGTAATCGCGATATCTAACAATAGGATTAATGTGCTTGTAATAGCAAATGTTTCACAATTTCAGCGAGAACTTGGATTCGCCAGATTCTTAATGTAAAGCGATTAAAGCTTACGATCTTTCCTACATTAACTACACAATACTAATTAAAGAGGAATTCAAACAAAAACCAAAAAGAAAGAAATAAGATATAAGGAGATAAAAAAAACTCTATTTAATAAGCTCGATTTTTATAATTTGGGATACGCTATTTTTTTCAAATAATTTTTATACGACATTCTCTCTTTTACACAAATTCCACAAGCTTGTGTTACTCGGTTTTTTTTTCAGAATTATTGAATTAATAATTAATATCCCACTAAAAACTTATTGTTATATGTGATATATTTATAATACATGATTAATGCTTAGTCGTTGTTTTCTTTTTCTACAAGAAAAAAAAAAAAGAAAAGAAAGAAAATTACCAGTACCACTTAAATAATTTATCGAGTCGTTAAAAGTTATTTTATTGTGCTAGAGAAACATCTTGTTACGGAAGGCATTTAATGTCCAGCGCTCGACATACAATTTTACTCGCTCCTAGCAATTCATAGGCTACCCTACGCACTTTATAATGCTAGCAATAAACGTAGCGCGCAAGCTCTTGGGGATGTCAGTGTGTACCTCGGAGGTGTATGGCGCCATGAATAGAAAAACTCGCGATAAGGACTTGGGTCTGGCCGAAAGTAAAGCGTAGGTCTGGACGGCGACGTAAGCCGTGAAATTGATTCCTCGTGTATGCTCGATTACCGAGGCTGCCAATGCCGCAATGAAGACCTTCTTCGAGCGCACGAGCTCCAAGACTTCTTGCGGCACCTTTTGCATCACCGACATCGCCGCCACGTCCAGATTCTGTAACACGTGATATCGTCCCACGCAAGGATCTCACTTTCAATGAGCAAATAAGGCGGGATATTGTGTTACTGTCTTTTACTACGTCATTTGGCAAATTCTACCGCTCATGTGCCGACATTTCGCTGGCTTGCAAGCAATTTTAGCTTTAGCCCTCTTTACCCATACGATACACATCCGAAATAGACATCAGTCTAATTGCATCGATCGCAATTATCGATAATTCATTTTAATTATTAACCATTAGTTGAGCATAAAAAATCATGTATAGAATTAATGAGAATAGCTCGATTGGGTCTGTAAGAATACATGTAGAATAAATTTTTCGACACTTGCCCTCTCGTTACTTACTAACACTGACATTCGAATATCGAATATTCATTCATTGGAAAATTTTTTATTCAATATATATGCCACGTACCTTCGAGAATAACTTTGTCATGTAAATATCAATTGTCATTGACATAGTGAAAGAAAAAAAAAAATTATTTGTCTTTCAAATGAATTTTACTTTGTATGGAATATTTTAAATTTCCATGACGATGTTTATTATTGGAAATAACAATAAAAACGATATATTTATGTAATTGCTCAATTATTTATACAACAATAATGAGTGATAAGTATCAATTTTATGCTATTGATGTATTTACACGTACTTTAAAGAATGACGAGTTGTTATTTAGAGCTTTAATTGAAGCTTCGACGTTTGTAGGCAATAGCACTTTATAAGTGAAATTCAGTTTCACACTCAAATGATTTAAAATGTCAAAAGTCAATCCGGTAAATTCTCTTAGTCCCGTCTTTGAATATTTAAGTATCTGCCATGGAGGATTCTGCAAATAAAAGAACAATTGGTGAAGTTATATTGATCATTGGTTTTAAATTTATTACCGTAAGATTGGAAATCTTACTTAACAGTTATGACCAAATATAAGCTACAAATTTTGCAACAATTTTACATTTTAAGGTTAAAATATATTAAAATTCCTATTTCTAATGCAATACGGAAAACCGATTAAAGATTTTAAGTATTTCATCTAAAAACTCTGAAGCAAAGTATGAGACGAAATTACTAATGCAGTGCGCGCGCTCGCATAAGAATAAAAAAAAAATCCAGAAAATTATGTCAATGTACGTTCGCTTTGTAATAAAAAATTTTCTTACTACAACCACAAACGGCAAATTCATTTTTGCCAATAAAGCGATACTTGGAACGTGACGTATTACATTTAGTACGAAAGACCGTCCATATGAAATAGTTTTTCTACACATACATATAATAATATAAATATTTATCGGACAGTTTTAAAAGATTATGCGCCTTGAAAGCGTTGGAGAACAATGATAATTAGACGGAACCACCTCTCAATCCAAAGGATGTTTAATCAGCTTCGCTACCGGCTACTCCCCTTCCTCAATCATTATCCATTAAGAAAAATCTTATAAAGACGCACGTGGAAACTGGAGACGGGCAGACAAATTCCACGAAAGCCGTGGCTCACGTGTGCGAAAAGTGGCTCTGTCATGTTGACCCCGAGGCCCGGAATCCACGTACCCACGTCTATTAATTGATAGCCGGCGTTGCGAGGGCCGAGGTCGGAGGAGGGTCGTTGAAGTTGATGATAGGCCGACGTCGCAAAAGAGGCGCCCCACGTGATCGCCGACGACATTCGCCAATTCACGCACTCGCTGCAACTATTTACTCTGCTCGATCGTATCTTCCTCAATTCCTTCTGAAATCAGTAAGTGAGACCGATCTTAAATGCCTCTCTTCATCTATCCTTCATTATCTCCGTTATCAATAGTTCTTCATCCTATTGTAAAAGACCATTCTTTTTTCACAAGTAACAGCTCACATTTTACATTATAAATCGTTAATTATATTTCCAATGACATTATAATTAATTGATAATGGTGACGAATTTCTTAATACACTTTATCATTTTAATCAATTGCACGGGCATTTTTTATTGTTCTATTTAGAAGTAATGTATTCTCATTGTAAATCAATCAAAATATATCTTCTATTAAATTAATATTAAGGTATTATTAAACGAAATAAGTTTAAATTACGTTATCCTCTCCTTCGTTAAAAAGAAAAAAGAGATAAAAAAAATATTTCTTTTACTGGATATATAAATATTACATCGTAAAACATTAACCATAAAAATTGAGTGGTTTTTATGAAAAATAATTATCCTTGCAATAATTATGATAATAATAATAATAATAATAATAATAATAATAATAATAATAATAATGGCAAATTTTTCATAGAATAACAAGAAAAATGGAACGAAAGAATGACAATGGTAATTACATGCTTACGTTCATGCTCCTAATTATTTCCTTTTTACGGTCAGTCTTTGATAATCTGACGACTTCGAACTCTTCCTCGGTAACGCGATCATAAAGTTCCAGTTCAGTCAACAGTGAATTTTCCAAACTTATAGCCAAGGCTTTCATCATCTCCTTGATATGACACATTAATCCCATCTAGATCGAGAATATCAATTTACTTAATAGATTTTCTACAATTATGCTAGACGCTCAGTTAGATTTTTCGAGAGAGAGAAAATGATGAAAACAAGCACTATAATTGCATTAAGAATGTAAATTCGAGAAAAACTTCATTAACGAGTTTCACATAAGTTAATTGAAAAAATAATTTCACTCTATTAAATATCTTAAGGCAATAAATAAAATAAATGAGTACAATAAAGTGCAGATGTAATTATATATAAGTAATAGTAAAATAAAGTAAAGAACCTCTTGTCGATAAAAATATTATACAAAGAAATTTTTGAGTTCTGTATGCAATAATAATAATAATAATAATAATAATAATAATAATAATAATAATAATAATAATAATAATAATAACAACAACAACAACAACAACAACAACAACAACAACAACAACGCGATAGCAAGCATATTATTTAAAGAATTTGTGAAAAATCTTTTTCGACTAATTTCAATTTAACTATTCTTTCTTCACTGACTCACAGTCCAATGAATTATCTGAAATTTAATTTTACGGTAATTTATCCCATATTTTATATAAAATAAAATTATAAATTTAATCTTCTATATTATAGTCTCATATAATTCCATCTAATTAAATTGAAAATAAAATGTATAACAAGTTGACTATTATTAGTTGTATTTCAAAATTGAGCAAAATAATTGCAATTATATAATAAAAACCGATAGAAAAATAAAAAATTGCAATAAAAGCAAAAGCAATGAGGAATTTTAATTAATAAGATGAGAAACAAATTGAGAAAACCAAATACATAAAATATGTAGTGTCTGAATGCTATTTCATCGACTGAATGTTATTACATTATAAGGAACCTAAGGATCTTAAAAGTTTTTTCTGCGTATAATTCTATCATTTGTCAACTTGTAATGAATGCCTTTATCAAGGAGGAATTAAATTACTTACTTAAAGTTTTTATCGGAGAAAAGAAATTAATATGAAAAATAAATAAATATATAATATTTGCAAGAAAACTTTAGCTTTCAAATAATAATATTTAGCTACAATAATCACAGCATGCGACTGTTTAGTTATAAACTATTATTCTTTATCAAGTTGTTAAGAATTTATGTAGTATTTCAGAGTTTAAATATTAAATAAGCTACAAAGTATATTCCAGTTGATATGAAATATTTCTAAAAGTTATATGCCAAATAATTTTAAAGTTCGTTATAAGTTCAAGTAAGTTGTATAAGCTATAAATTTCACCAATAATTCCTTTAAAAACTCATCATCAAAACTTTGAATCATCCAATCATTTACAATCCAAGGTAATTACAATGTTCCTTTTACAATTTAACGATAAATCCTACGTAAATAAACGCATCAGCTCGTCTCATAAAGATAAATATTAATATAGAAAGCAACATAAGCCGATAAAATAATTTTATTATATTACCTATAAATTTAATTGCTCCATCTTAATTATCATTAGAATAATAAACTTCTTTTCCAAATGATAAAAAAGAATGAGAAAAAATTAGAACAAAAGTGAAAAAACTTCCAAGTCTTTAGTAATTATGTTCTCAGGCTGACCTCATTATCTCTAGGCTTAAGCCTGCGTCTCAAGTTAATTTGACTAAGCAAATGAGTAGAAAAGCCGAGGTACATCCATTGAATAAAAGGATGTGGATAATTGTAAACTAGTTTAATTACATTACACTCGGGGTTGAGGCTCGTTGCATTGTAAATGAATGCCACGTTTTCGCCCTCGTTGAGAAACTCAAGGAACGATGTGACGTTTACCTCGCTACTTGCGCCATCGCTGATGACGTATAACCACTGGCTACCCGGATGCACCATTTTCAGTGATTTTGCCTGCTCATTGAATTTCAATGAAAATCAGACTCACGCTAGTCGAGCAGTCTGCGCTTTATGAATATGTTATCAAGTTACATTGAAGCTCCCTCTCACTCTCTCTCTCTCTCTCTCTCTCTCTCTCTCTCTCTCTCTCTCTCTCTCTCTGTCTTTAAAGCGAGCCAAATATCCGAGTTACGCGTACTGACGGTATGATCCGATGCAAGCAGCGATGGTCCAGTCGGGAGATTCGGCGAAAGTGACACAACGGCTACGCCCGCGAAAAAGAAACGTCCAATCGCCTGCGTGACGAGCAACATCGCCTGCGACATTATGCGATGCTACTACTTGTCATTCTCATGTAAATTCGATATAATATTGTGATTTATGCAGAATATAAATATTAAAGAATATTTATATATGACGCTTATGTATTACATGCATCGGTATCATGTTAAACACAATGTAATTAACGATGAAAAAATTTCATTTTATTTATAGATCGATTAAATTTTCACTCCTTCGTAAAGATGTAGGATATTCATAATATTAAATTAATTAACATTGCTCGTACGTATGTGATAGTGAATAATCTTTAGTTTTGAAAAGTTTTTATCTGAACTTTAAATAATTTAATTGCGTAAATGCTACAAAGTGGATAATAAAAGATTAACGTGTAAAATGAAATATTTTAAATTATACGAGATTATCCGTAAATGTGAAATATTAGTATTTGATGGAATTTAATTAAATTATAATGAAATTACAACATTTTAAATAAATATTTTACATTAATGAATAATCCTTTTAATGCGCTTCGATAGTATTGTGCTCCTTACATAAATGTGCGTATTAGTTTATTAAATGGCTGATGAATTAATAAGGGAATTGTTATAAATTGAAAATTACTAATAAAATGATTTATCGCAAGGAATGATATTAATATTCAAAATCTATAGTATTCAATGTGAAGAAATATTTATCTTTATCATTCATTAATTCATTAATTCCATGTAAAATCTATGCCAATTTGTATATTTAAACTGTCGTTTAACGTTTATTAAAGATTGAAATTAAAAAAAAAAAAAATTAAATAAATATATTATTTCTTCGATAGAAAAATATATCGATCTTAATATATTTATTACTTAATATATTCATATTGCAAGTTCATTTATCAGGGCTAATCAAATAAATTACTCGACGTAGTACGTGATGTATGCAACTACAATAAATTTTTCCATATGAAAACATTAATGAGAAACAAAGTTTTTCTAATGAAAAGTCGAAAGACATTAAATTATTTGCCCATTGATTTATCAAAGTTTCTTTCCACTTTCTTAAAAATATCTATCGCAATACAATAAATATAAAAAGTGTTTACACGCGTTTAATATTAAATTAAAAATATATATCCATAGTTTCAAGATTATCCGTAATGACGTATTGCTTTTACAAGTTTAACCGACTTCAACAACCACATTAGGTAATTAAATATACAATTGCTTAGTCAATTATCTTATGTTATCTTAATTGCAAATACATTTCTATGCTAACTATTTAAAATGTGAATCATGCCTTTTTCATAGTTAATTTCAAGTATGAAAATAATTTTGTGCTTTTTATCACTTTATTAAGTTAATGTTTAAAATTCGAGTTTAAAATTCAATGAATGATTCATGTATTTATTCGCAAGTACATAAGATCGAGTGTGGAACTTACAACTTCCATAATAGTCGATACCATATCGATAGTAACAATAACCATGAAACAATTTCCAAGCTGATCCACATGGACGTCCGAAAGTATTTTATGGATACGTAGTTTCATCGTGCTTTTGTCTTTCTCGAATTTAGTCGAGAATAACGCTCGGGTCGACAACTTCAGTCTTTTGTCGGAAAGCTCGACTGACAAAGCTTTAACCACTCGGCTGATGGTATCTCGAGCTGCGCAAATTCTTAATTTACTTTTACAAATGTCAATTATACATTCCTTTTTTTTTCTATTGTATAATTAGATTAATATAAAATTGTTATCGATGGAGAACAGCCGAATGCAGAATGTTCATAAAGTGTACTAAAAACTCACCGTGTGTATTCAAAATTATGCCATTTCTTCAAACAGTTTGTTTGTTTGTTTGTTTTTTTTTTTTTTTTTTATATTATGTCTGACAATCAAGGGAATGATGGATTACTTAATGAATGTAAAATTATCGTTGAATGATAAGTAGTGGTCGGATAATATTTTTGTTTACTTCAAATTCTACCTGTAAAATTAAGTTTCTCACCTACGATCTAAATTTCAATATCAATATCACGAAAAATTAATCGAATTACAAAATTCATAAATTCACGAAAAAAAATTTTACTTTCACATTACATTATACAATTATTCATAATTTTAGATGGTATATTTTAAAATAATTTATCATTTTTCAATGTCGATGAGTAAGCTCTTTTAAGCGCAAATTATATACAAAAATTGTTATACTAATCACAATAAACCTACTCATGTGCATAATTGTTCAAATTGCCAAGATTATTATATAAAATCATTTATAAATTTATTCACCCATTAACCAATAAACGTAACCAATAATGTGTAATTATTAATTACCAAATGTGTCGTCATGGATAAAATTTACTTTCGGCCACGAGAGAACGCCAGTTGTTCTAAGATCTAGGAAAATTTGAGGTAATTCTTGACCTGGAACGATAAGTGATAAACTTACACCAGCATCCTTCGGTAATCTCGGACAGTCCGGATCTATAATAATTCATTTTGATTTATAATCTCAAGCTTCTGACACGAGCGAATATTTCATCAAACATACTAATATTTTCTTTAAACTAACATAAGTGTATTAGCGCGTATTTACATTTCAAATTAAATATGTAACTTAACTGATAATTGAGCGCGAAAAATCAAAAATTTTAACTATATAATTGAATTTATAATTATTTGATTAATTTAATAAATTAGATATAACAATTAATATAACATAAAAATAAAATAACTAAGGTATTTAATATTCGTCTATTATAATACTAGACTATATTATATTATAATAAAAAATGTTATTAAAATTATTTATTAAAATAAAATATTAAACTAACTGACGATGAATTACTTGAATATTACAATAACAACACAATTTCCCTCGCAAATCTCGTTCAATAAGGCATTCGGTAAATATTTTACTCAAATTGAAATAGAATTAAGTAAAATTGTATAGGAATAAAATATTTATCAAGATATTTTCTCCAATCGATCTGAATATGAAGAGAGAAGGAAATTCATGCAAAAAATATAATTAATGTATGGAAAAGTAAGTCTGAATTTATTTTACCTGTAATAGCAACATAGACAAGTTTTTCTTTTTGAGCTCGCTCCAATAATTGCCAAGTTACCTGACAACTTGCAATCGAAAATAAAATTGTATAGTCTGAAATTTGATTTATCTATATGTATTGTATAATAATTTTTCATCCGGATATGAATCATGAATAACATTTATGGTTTATGACCAATCAATTTGTATTCATTTGTACAAAACAACATAATTGATATTTTTCAATAATGTCAATGTTATTCAAATAATTATCACTTTATGACGCACCTTGTTTTAAATTTACATTTGTATCTCCAAAAACATTAAACTCAATTCCGCTAATTTGCATTTCCTTTTTAATAATCTCATTCATCACTACTGAGATTTGAGATAGCGTTCTATTATAATCCTCCACGTCGATGAAAAATCCTTTCTCAATAATAACAGCTTTGCAGAAAAAAAATGAAAAAAATGAAAATACAAAAATTGCAAACTTTTCAGTAAAATCTATTAATTAGAATAAGTTAATAATAATTATATTCCATAAAATAGCTATTATGAACTATCGTTATTTCATTAATAATAACTATTACTTTTACTTTTACTTAATTATAAAGAAAGATCGTGTTGCTGTTTATTCAAGAGTCTTTTATTGCTCATCTTTATCTTTTAATTAACAATGAATCCATTACATAAGCTATTATTGTATTAATTTTCATTAATTAATACATTAAATTGATATTGTTATAATTTTTGTTTTGTTTCTGTTTTAAAATTACGCATTAATTATAACATTAGGCTTATAGCGTTAAAAAAATTTCATTTTTTAAACTTTCCAAAATGAGCAAAATGCTATACTCTTGAATAAAAAAAGAAGAAGAAAAAAAAAAAGAAAAACTACGTACACTTTACGCACACAATGAATATTGCTTCGGTATTACAATTAAAAGCTCATTGCAAATTGCAAAGATAATATAACTATATGGGATATATGCTAATGAATTATTAATTAATTTAATGAAATATTTCGTAATATTTATTTTATTATCTGCAGTGTAAAACTAACGTTTATCTAAATTTAAGAGATTATAATGTTTATCATAAATTACAATTACTAGTAATAAAATAAAAATTATGAGATTGTACGAGAAATTTTTATATTCCCTAAGTATTGCGATCTCGAAAACGAAATATTTATGTCTGAAAAATGTTTAAATATTTATGCAATTGTTAAATGCTAAAAGCTTCGCTACGAAATAAATCGTCTAAATTTTCATTGTAACTAAAATTTGTTCCAATTAAAGTAAATCCTCTTGCTGCCAACAAAAAAAAAAAAAAAGGATTCCAATCTAGATTAAAAACTTTAACGTAACATCGGTAAAATAATACACGGATCTTTATTTATAATGTTCATAAAATTACAGACAAGCCAACAGACTTGAGATAACAAACTTAAAATAATAATAACGCATAGTCGGCTTATCGTGAAAAATCGGAAAAATGTCTTTGTTATGCACGCACCCATAGTGACGTTGGCTGTTATGAGCGACGGAAAGTCATTGTATCCTGTCGCACTTCTGAGGCTCAGTGAAATGAATAAAAACAGCATCATTGCTATCATTGTTCGTCTTCCTTCAACATCCGTCATGGCACTTAAAATAAGCGACTCGTGGCTGCCAGTTACAATATCATCCGTCACTACCGAATTATTAACAACTTCGTTATTTTTTATGATAGAGCACATGTTCATACATATACGAGTACTCGGATTGCTGTTACAATTGGTAAAAAGAGGCAGAAATGGGGAGAAAGGAATATCGAGGTTAAGAGGTTAGCTAGGAAAAGGTCGTGAATTCTTTCATTAATTGATAAGGAACAAGAAACAATCGAAGCACCCTTAGGTCGACCAATTTTCTTTTATATTCTTTAGATATTTCAGCCATATGAGACATGAAAAAAGTAATACCTTTCCTCTCATAGTCTAATAAAATCATAACAAAACCGTTGAATTCGAATTGTTTATATGTTAATAATGAAATGATAAATAATTTTTGTTCTTTAATAATAATAAATTAATGTATTGTGCTCTTGTTGAGGTTCTATACGAAACCATTTTTATAAGAATATTTTGAAAATAAAACATAATTATTATAAAATATTGAATAGATATACTTAAATTATTTCCAGTTAATTAATTGTATATATTTTAATATATATATATATATTAATGATATTAAAATTACAATTATTATTGGAAAATAATTAAGCCAGTAAAATAGTATTATATATTGAATATAAAATAAACCAATAAAACTTATATTGAAATGTTCTAAATTGTAAATTCGTTAGGATTACTTTATTACGTAACGATCTTGCATTAAATTTTGAAATGAAAATACTCTTTTCTTATAGAAATGTAATCAATTGGCCAAGTAAATTATATGAATATAGAAATTTCAAAAATTATTTTCTTTCATTTCGATATTAATGAATTTACATACAAATTCCAATATAATTTAATAAGATACACTCCTTTTGCAATTCTATAAGATTATGTAAGATAAGATTGACATAAAATCAATCAATAAATAAAGTTAAAAATATAAATTCTATAAACTATTTGTACAATTATCATGTGTACTTGAGTATTGAATTTACTTTAACGTACAATTGTGAATTATAATATGCCTCGTTATACATTCTTATGAAATAGGATTTTGAAATGACTAATGTATTTTTAAACATCTATTAATTAGTTTCTGATATTACTTATAACTTATTTATATAATCGGTCATTTTTTCATGCAGTTAGTTTTTATATTTTTATTGTTATTTTTTTTCTTTATACAATGGGTCATTGATTGAAGAGAGGATCGATAGTCTTTTAATTTCAACTTTTTTGCTTTCTTCACAAATGAAGCACTAGAGATAATCAACCGTATTCTATATATTTTCATAGATTTAATGTCTTTATTCAATAAAAGATCTACACCTTATAAATGTTAATAGCTTTTGTTAAAGTTATATTAAAGTATTCAAGTTTAATAGCTTCTATTAATTGCTTATTTGAAAAGAAATGTTTAAAATTCTAATCGTTTTCATATTTCTATGTACTATTACCGAAGACATATATATATATATATATATATATATATATATATATATATATAGGAGTAAACGTATTTTTAATGGTTGCTTTTAAAAAGTAATTTTATATTAGTTTTTAATGCATTATTTTGGTAGCTAACGTTGCCTCGATATTCAAACTTCAAGCTTGTTCGACGAGAAATAATCAATATACAATAATTTAAAATAACTTTTTAATCATAGATCGCTTCGAGGCTTATTGGCATTAAGTTAAAAAGTATTTATTATACGGTAAATTTTTTCTCATAATTTTCATATTCTTAGAGCTATTTCGAATATAAAAGATGTGCAGTTTTTTTTTCTCTTTTTAATCTTAAATAACAAATAATCTTGTTTTTAACATATGGATAATGTGAAGGCGATTGATTATTCATATACCGCTCACAAACATTGATTATTCGCAGAGAAGAAAAAAGAAGCTGCTTTATACCATAATAAAAAGGTAAAATCTACGTAATACAAACTGTGTAATACGTAATTATTTGTGTTTAATTTCGCCTCGAAGCTAGTATTAAATAAATTCGCTACCATTCTAAACTTTATCGTTTGTAAAGTGATTTTCGTTATTTCGCTTCGTGCATGCTTAATCAAACGTAAATTGCCCTACTATAAATATATATATACCGCGTAATCTATACAATTGCTAAATATCAATAATACATGGGTGGAGGAGAGAGGCGTGTCATCCCTGCAATTACAACGTCTTCCGAACTCATTGAGAAAAGTTTCTCATTTACGCAAGTCGACGATCGATTACAAAAATTGAAAATCAATCTGATCTCCACTCGAAATCTACCGATCGATCCTAACAGCTCGTCCAACCACTTCCGACATCATGAATCAAAGAACATTAATTTCCCATTTCGTTAAAAGTTATTTGGAATATTCCCCGACAGTTTTCGAACGTTGCGCGCCTCCTCGGCGAACCACCACTACGCCTGCGCTCACTTCTCTTCCTCGAGCGTTTCGTCGGTATGCGCGCACGCGTCCGCTGAAAATCGCAAGGAATTCGCACGCACTCGCACAAACTACTCGCCGCACTCTTTATATCGGGTTTCGCGCTCGCGGTAAGCGGCTCGTCCCATACGTCATCGTATTATCGTTTACGGTACTCGCGTGCGACACACTCAGTCTCGTTCTCGCTGCCTGTTTCCTGCTGCCGAGGGCGCGCGCGCGCGCGCTCGCGCATCACACCCAGCGCCTGCGGCCCCCTGTCTAACCTTCTGTACCAAAGGCGCTGACGGAGGATCGCCGTGGATCGTGGCCGCGCGACCGATGTACACGCCCGCGCGACGACCTGTCCAGCTCTCGACAGGACGTTGTCGTAGCGCGAGAGCGGTAGCGGCGACCAGGACGGGCGATGGGCTGAGGACATGAGGACAAGGCTCGCGCGTCCGAAGGCTCGCCGCGGTTTAAGGGGAAGAAGGGCCGAGGACCCAGAACTCGGCCTCGA